CCATGCACCCTTTACTTAAAAGTCCCACAGCTCCCCATTTCCCTAAGGATTAAGCCCAAACTCCTTGGCAAGACATCCAAGGCTCCTCACTGTCACCTTCCTGCCATTCCCCCATCCTTCTCCTGCCACACAGACTGCCATGTGGTTGCCACAATACAAAACTCTAGCACACTAACTTTATGGTTCCTGCTCCTGTGCCTTTGACTATGCTGTTCTCCTCCACCGGATGTTCTTCTTCCCCACATCTGCCAGTAAACCCTTGTCACCCACTGGGTCCTAGCTCAAGCCTTTCCTGATCCCACAAACACAGTTACTCCACTCCCTGACCGTGTGGGCACTATTCATAGCCCTTACCATCTTAGTTATTTCTCTATGTCTGATACCCCCACTAGCCTGGGTGTTATCTGTGTATCTTGCATGGCCAGTCCAGTGAAGTAATTACTAAAAGACAGAGTAATATATAACTTTTTCAACTTCTGTCCTGATGGTTAATTATAACAAGAGGAAAGAAGATTAGATGTCAGGAAGAACTGGTAGAAAAAGAGGAACACCGCAAGGCAAATGCACACTAGTCATCTGTCCCCCGCCCCCCTCCCCCAAACTTCCCCAGGAGCACAGTCATCAACCTACAGAATGTTAACTCCAAGAGGGCTTTCGAGATTTTTGTCACCCAATCAAATATCAGAGAGGGTAATTGCTTTTCTCAAGATCATATTGCTGGGAGCTTTGAAGTTTAGGTAGATGGCTATCTCCTCTCTTGCCCTTCTTCCTCTCCTGCCCAACCTAACTCCCTGGAAGTCTCTGATGCTTTAACAAGATCAAGGGAACTACTGGGCCTCACTGGAAGCTATTAAAGCACCTGCTGGGACCCTGGCAGGAGTTGCCATAGTCCTACAGATTGGAGGAAGGTATCCAATGGCCCCCATTTTACAGTTTGGCAAACCAAGACTGCTAGCTAATGGCAGAGGCAGGATTTGAAACTAAGTATGGTATTCTTCCTGTTGAGGAATCTGTGAAAAGCCAGAAACCCCACATGTGCAGAGTCACTACAGTAATCATGACTATGGACCTCCTAATGCCTGGGGAATCCCCTCACTCCCACTAGTTCCTCTTTAGATCAGCCTTTATCTACCATGAACTGGGGGGTTTAACTTAGGAAAAAACCTCTACGTCACCCATGCAAGCAGACCAGGCCTACTAGATGGACTGGACCGTCACCAGTCATAACCTTTAAGGGGAAATCACCTTTCCCTGGGCCCCGCACGTGACAGTCAAGGTGGCCATGTCATCGCTGATTGGTACTAATAGCCTCAGATGGGGAAACTCAGGGTCCTTGATAAGGCATTAGGGTAGGTCATAATCAGTAAGTGACAGGGCTAGGACTGGAACCTAGGTCTGTCTGATAGTAGAGCGACCCTCCAGGTCACGCCAGGCGTTCCCACCCAACCACCTGAAGCCTCTCAATGGATGGATTACCTAGGGAAAGGAACTTAACCTCTCCCAACGCCCCCAAGGTCAGAAGCTTCACTTTGAGGGCAGAAAACGATATGCAAAGGAAACGCAAACCCGCGGGCGCCGGCGCAGTCTCTTCTTCGAGCCTGGGGCTGTCTAATGGCCCAGAGGAGAGGTCGCACCCCCGGCCCCCGGGACCGGCGAAACCAAACGCCAGGCTGGCTAGAAGAAGCGAAACCGCAACACACTCCGGCCTTCCCCGCTCGGTTCCGGGAACCAGCGAGCCAGACTTCGCGGAAACGCGCCCGGCAGCAGGCGCCTCCGCCCCAGGACCGCCCCGACCTCAGCCGGCAGCCCCGGCCGGGAGGTGCGGGGGCCGGCGCGGTCGGGCCCGAGCAGCAGCGCTACGCGCGCTTCCGCCCCGCTCGGCTCCGGCGGCGGCCGCGGCGGCCCCACAATCCCCTTCTGGCTCCGGGGACGGGCGGGGCGGGGCGGGGCGGGCCGAGCGGGCGGAAATAATTTTCTGTTTGGTCGTCTCTGCCCCAGTCCCTTTGCCGCGGGACGCGCGGGGCGGGAAGCGGGAACGCGAACGCGCTGCTCTGGCCAGCTTAGCTCCGCGGGGCGGGGCGGAGATCTTCAGGAACTGAGCACCTACTGTGTGTCCTAGCGCTTTGCAGAGGATTTTCGTTCAGTTTTCCCTACAGCCCTTGCCAGAGGTTATCAATACTCCACTTTCGGAGAGACAGGCTGAGACTAGGAGAGGTGAAGTCACTTGCCGAAAACCGCACAGCGAGGATCTGCGTAACACCTCAAATCGTGATCGCTCACACCCCAAATAGCACAATGAACTAGAAACCACTTTTCCTAGTCTTGCTCTTGCCCCATATTCGTGAGTCGGCGCATAGTGGGTACTCAGGAAAATAAATGTTGGCAACTGAAGAATGAGCTTGACAGCTCAGCCTCGAGTACCTGCGGCGAATGTAGCCCGCCCGGGGGGCGCCGGCCTGCCTCGGACCTCGGAGGGAAACGGTGGTGGATGCGCACATAGAGGAGAATTGGGCACCCCCCGCTCTGCACAGGCACAGTGTTGGAGCCCCAGCCCTAGCCGAGGACAGAGTGGGTTCGAATCCTGGCTGCTCGGCTGCTTTCAGGCTGTGTGTTGTTGAGCAAGTCATTTTAAAACGTGGAGACCTCAGTTGCTCCGTCCACAAAGTGGAGCCATTAAAGCCCATCCTAAAGAATTAAACGAAACAATATTCCTAAAATACTAAACGTGTAAGTGTCGTCAGCCGTGCATCCCACAAGCTTCAGGGGCACACCGGGCACCGAGCTGATCCAGGACAAAAAGGCCTCCCGGCCCCTGTCCCCTGGGCGCAGGGACCAATGAGTCTTCAAATGACTCCAGTTTGGCGAAACCCGAATGTGACTACCATGGCAGTGGTGAATCCCGAAAGCAAATATTCAAATATTCTGAAACTGGCGCATGGTTAACACTGGCATTTTCGCGTTTTTCTTGCAATTTTATTCTTGCTAGTAAAGATAATTCGTTAGAAACTCCTAAATAAGGTTTCTCCTCTGCGTCTTGTTTGACTTTTCGTATGAGCGAAGTTCACAAAACTGACCAAGAAACTGGAGTGCAAACGTCCTGGCTGGGATCCCGGCCCTCGGACAGGCGTTGGATAATACCCGGGCTCTCGGCTCCTTCCCTCAGGCACGGAAGCCGCCGAAAAGATAGACGGCTCTTCGTCCCGGCAGCCCTCCGGGATTCCCCGTATCCACGCTGGAGCGAGCAGGGTTGGGGGTTGCAGCCTGGAACTCAGCTTCCCGGATCTCCCCAAACTCCCGCCTGGCCAGGATTAAGGGAGTAAATCCCTGACGCCACCGACCAGGTCAAGGACAAGTTCTCCCCCGGCAAACCCTCCCCTCCTGGGCGGGGATTCGCTCCCCCCTTGGCCCGGATGAAAGGTACTAAAGAGACGCGGAGGGGGGAGCGGCGGCCCCGGCCCCTTGATGTTCCGGTTGAACAGGTGCTGGTGAAAAGGAGGCGGACCCGGCGGAAGAGTCTGCCAGGGGGGCAGTGCGCTGAAGGGGGGCGGCCTACTCCATCCCCAATCCCCTGGCCGGCCTTCCCCTCTTCCCTCTCTCGACCCCTCCCCCTCAGGAAGCATTCCCGGCCGCGAAGTCTTTGAAGTGTCGCTGAAGCCCCCAGGGCTGCCTCCTCCCCTCCACCACCCCACCTCCCGCTGTGGGGGAGGGTGACCTTTAGTCCCCACGGGCGCCGACCCCCCTTTAGGAAATGTGTGGGAGTCAGATCTCGTCCCTTTTCCCCACACTAGTCTTGGGGAAGAAATCTTCGGGCTAATGTCCCCTCACTTCTGACCCGAGACTCAGTGTTGGGGACTTTAGCCCTTTGGAGGGAGCTGTGTGCGTGCCATTGTGTTTGTGTGCGTGCTTAGCGGTCAAGGGTAACTTGTTCGTGACCACCTCCGTGGTTGCGGTCTCTAGCGCGCGTGGGTCTCTCCGGCGCGCCAGCGGAACTGGAGCTGGGCTTGGGTCTCCAGGAGGGTCAGGTGGTGTGCCTGGATGAAGCTGCGCGGGCCTCTGTGCGCCTTGGAGATCTGGGTCCCAGTGTGTGCGCGTGTGTCCGTGACAACGAAAAGCTCCTCGAGGGCAGGGATATCTATTTTGTTCGCTACTCTCCTGGCGGCTGGCACATACTAAGCGTTCAATAAATATTTGTTTAATGAATAAGTGACTGCACGTGCAAGAATGTCTACCCTCCAGAGTGGCCTCGGAGGAAAGGGCCCGTGCGCTACCGTCCAAAGAGACCCCCAAACACTTAGAAGCGAGCAGCCCGCGTCGCTCCTATTCCTTTCCGCGTCCCTGGTCTTCACCTCCAAATTTCCCTGAGGTTGAAGAAGTGACGCAGAGACTGAGACCCGGGCGTAGCGGGCTGGGAATCGGACACCCCCGCACGAGATGGGAGGCAGGCAGAGGAAGGGCTCGGGAGCGACAACCGAGAGCCAAAAAAACGAAAAAAAAAAAGAAGGAAAAGAACCACGGAGCGAAGGAGCGAAAAGCTCCCTACCAAGCCAGGCTTTGTTTCCTGAACCTAAGACTTTACCCGGCGGCGGGCGGCGGGCGGGCCGGGAGCGAGCGAGCGAGTGAGCGGAGGCGCGCGGCCATGGCTGCCGCGGTGGGGCAGGGGGGCCGGGGGGGCGGCGCGTGAGCGGGCGGCGCGGGGCGGGCGGGCACCCGCGATGTGCCACTCGGCGCCTCCCCCGCCGGGCCCTGGCTGCGCGGCGGCCGGGCAGCCGTGGTAGCCGGGCGTGCGGCGCGGAGGGGTCGAGCCCGGCGCGCGAGTCTCATTGTTGGGGGGGGGCCGTCGGGGCATGAGGGCGAGAGCACGGCGGGGGGGGCGGCCAGACAGAGCGAGCGAGGAGGAGGAGGAGGACGCCGAGGAGGAGGAAGGAGGAGGCAAAGAAAAGAAGCGGCGGCGGCGGAGGAGGGGGCGAGGAGGCGCGCGGCCCCCCGCTCCCTCCCTCCCCCCCTGACCCCCGACCCCCGCCGGCCGGCCCCCCGCCCCAGCCCCGGAGGGAGCTCATGGGAGTATGAAGGAGATGGTAGGAGGCTGCTGCGTATGTTCGGACGAGAGGGGCTGGGCCGAGAACCCGCTGGTCTACTGCGATGGGCACGCGTGCAGCGTGGCCGTCCACCAAGGTACGGGGGTAGCCCGCGGGGGGGCGGCGGGACCCCGGGGGCGGCGCGCTCGGGGCGCCCCCGGCCGCGCCCTCCGGAGCCCTCCCGGGGCTCGCGCGCCCCTCCCCCACCCCACCTGAAGGGAAGGGAGGCGTGGGGACTCCCCACGCCCGGTCCTCCAGGACCGGGTCAGGCATTGTTTTCTTGCCTATTGTTCCAGTCCCGCGCCCCCCACCCCAAGTTGAGGGAGTTTGGGGAGAGTCCAGAGAGCGACGAGTGAACTCCCTGCGCCCCGCGCCGCCCTTGTCGGGGCTGCCGGGGGAATGTTTACCTGCGAGGTGTCCCCTCCCGCCCTGTTATTTTGGTCCGGGGCTCCGAGAGGAAGAGGTCAAGGGGGGGTCATCCCCCCTCGCTTCCGGATACTGGGAGGAGCGGAATCGGGAAGGGACGAGAAGGGTCCCAGGGGAGAAGGGACTCCTAAAATTCTCCGGGGAAGAGCTGAAGATAGGAGAGCGGTTGTGCAGGGGGCCGGAATGGAGAAGGGAGGTTTGGAGTTTCCCCCAGCAGCACATGGTTCGGGAGTTAACTCCTTGAGGAATCTTGCCGAGGGCGCAGGCTGGCATCTCCCGCCTGTCTGGCACAGCCAGCTGGGCCCCCACTTCCTGGGACAACCCTTAGTACTGTGGCTGCCGGCAGTTCCCGCCACTCTCCTCTCCTTTACCTGCACTGCACCTGCCCTTAGCCTTGACTTTTGACCTGTACCTGTGATAGTTAGAAGCTGAAGATGAGGTTCCTGGACCCCCGACTTCCCTGCTTGGTCCCTTACTGGCCCTTTAAGAAGTCCCCCCCCCCATAACAACAAAACGTGTTTGACTATCGCGACTGTTGTTTCTGATGCCAGGGGACTAGTCCGGGACTGGAGCTGGGAAATGAGTCCAGAAAGGGCGTGGGGTGGGGAGGATCTTTCAGAAGTTTAAGGTCAAGGACTCAAGACTTCCCGCCCCTGTTTGTAGTGCTTGATTGTGTGATCAAAGGCTGGCCTGTGCTGTTGGGCATTCCTTGTGGTTCTGCTGTTTAGAGAGTGACCCCCAGCCTGGGGGAGCAGCCCCCCCTGCTGGAACTAGCTCTGGTTCTTCAGAGTCACACTCCCTTCCCCCTGTTACCCTGGGGAAAAGCCGCTGGCTGACAGCTTTCCTCAATGACTCCTCCCCCACCTCTAGCTTGCTATGGCATCGTCCAGGTGCCAACTGGACCCTGGTTCTGCCGAAAATGTGAATCTCAGGAGCGAGCAGCCAGGGTGGTGAGTTCCAGCCTCCTCCTCCTGGCTCCCCTCCCCCTTTGCACACACCTGAGCATCTCCCCTGGTTGAGTTTAGGGACTCTGAGGCTGAGGCTAGGGTGGGACTTAGTTCTGTCATGCAGGACTTCCTGTTTCCTGCATACCTATCACCAACCCCATCTCTCCCTCAGCTCATCCCTCACTGTGCCCCACCTCAAGCATGGAGACTTTGTTTGTTTGAACTTTTTATTATGAAAAGTTTCCAAGGCTGCAAAAGTTGGGAGAATTCAATAATAGACCCCAGGTCCCCGTCATCACTCAGTCTTCAACAATTATCAGCTAGTGGCCAAACTTCTTTCCTCTACACTACCCCACAATGGATCTTATCATTTCATCTTGGGGCCCTTTGAATGTGTTCAGGGAGGGCCTGGCTCAGCAGATCCCCCAACTCCCTGTGCCCCTTGCATTGGCAGAGGTGTGAGCTGTGCCCACACAAAGACGGGGCATTGAAGAGGACTGACAATGGAGGTGAGGGGGGCCCTGAGCCCCTGAGGTCAGCAAGTCCCCCAGAACAGGTCTGGGAAGGCAAGAGTGGGTGGGGTGGAGGCTGGGTTTCCTTTCCCTGGCTGGCACTGGAATCAGATGGGAAGGCTGTGAAAAAGGGGACAGTCTGCAGCCTGGGGATGGGAGGGATGGGGTGTCAGGCTCACCATCCCCCTGAGGCTGGCCCCTACACTCTCCCAGGCTGGGCCCACGTGGTATGTGCCCTCTACATCCCCGAGGTGCAGTTTGCCAATGTGCTCACCATGGAGCCCATCGTGCTGCAGTATGTGCCTCATGATCGCTTCAATAAGGTCAGCAGTCCTACTGTGCCCCATACTGTCCCTTCCCTGGCCACCCATACTTGTGTCCCTACAATGCTTTCTTATTCTGGTGTAGCTTGATTCTGTCCAATGAACACTTTCAGGGAACTTGAAGGTGGGTAGGTACCTACCACTGTTAGACACACACTCATGCTCTGGAACTCAGTGAAGTAGCACTGTCAGAGAGGAGTTTTTAGCTAGTAGTTCATTCATTCATTACTGGGCACATTTTATTGACTGCCTACTATGACTGATGTAAGGTACCAGACATACAGTATTCTGTGTTGATCAAGACAGATGTGCTGTCTGCCAATGGAGTTCATGCTCTTGTGTGGGAAGACTGTAGAAATCAATAAACAGGCAAATAAAGTAAATGTAATTTGTGATAAGTGCTGTGAAGAAAATAAAAAAGGAATTTAAATAAAGAGTACCTAGTGGGTGCTTACTTTAGATAATGTGGTCAATGAAGAAGACATTTAGGTGGAAACCAAAGCATGAGACAGTCAGCTTTGAGAATGTTAGGGTCTTAGGTTCCAGGTACAGATTGCATGTGCAGAGGCTCAGAGGTGGGAATAGGCTCACCAGGGAGCAAGATAGATAGTCAGCAGCCTTTCGGAGCTCACCAAGGACAGTCCTTTCCAATATAACCACTAGCTACATGTGGCTTTGCAAAATTAAAATTATATAGGATTTAGGATTCAAGTCCTTAGTCACACTAGCCATACTTTAAGTATTCCATGTGACTGCAGGCTACTCTCTTGGACAGTCTAGGTTATAGAAGATCTGCATCACTGCAGAAAGATGTTAGCATTAATATGGGATGGTGAGGAGAGATTGGAATTAAAGGGAGGCCAAAGGATCCCTCAGCTTGCAGGACAGGGGCTCTGTGGAAGACAGGACGAGTGTGCTGTGTCCTACAGACGTGTTACATCTGCGAGGAGCAGGGCCGGGAGAGCAAGGCAGCCTCAGGAGCCTGTATGACCTGTAATCGTCATGGATGTCGACAAGCTTTCCATGTCACCTGGTAAGATCCCTGTTCCCAACCCCTTCTCTGAGGTTTACCTGGGTGGCTGCCGAGTGGGCTCATCCTAGCTTCTGTTTCTTGGGTGATGGTGGCAGTGGCTTCCTCGGGTAGTCTTGGCTTCACTTAAGTAGGGGTCTAGGAAGGGAAGAGGAGGTGGCTGCTCAGGTCTGTGGCCACTCCCTTCTCACCTGACCTCCCTCGGTTAGTGCCCAAATGGCAGGCCTGCTGTGTGAGGAAGAAGTGCTGGAGGTCGACAATGTCAAATACTGTGGCTACTGCAAATATCACTTCAGCAAGATGGTGAGTCCCATCTGGTCTGCCAACACAGTTGGTCTGTCAGTGGAGGTTTAGAGGGTGTGGGCTCTGGGTCAGGCCCCTGCCTGGTGCTGGGAGGTGGAAAGAACCCAGTCTCTGCCTTTGAGGAGCTCCTCTTTTGATGGGGAATAATTTACAGTTGAAGGGGTATGAACCAGAGCTGAACCAAGTAGTCCATCCTAGAAGACAGAGCTCAAACCTTGCCTATCTGCCTGGGTGGCTTCAGAGACAAGGGAGCCTTTAAGCTGAGTGGAGCTAGAAATAAAAATAAGAGCCACCGATTGTGTGGGAGTGAATATCTACTGTGCCTGAGCCTCTGTACCAAGTTCTCCACATGGGATATTTTTTGTGGTCCTCCCAACATCTCTAAGTACTAGGCATGCTGTATTGTCCCTATTTCACAGATGCATAAACAAGGCTCCCCAAAGTCATGTAACTTACCTCATAGCTGGTGGATAGATTTCAGAACAGGTAGTCTGATCTAAAAACTCCTCGAGAACCCGTCAAACAAACACAGGAAGAAATGAGGCCCAGGCAGAAGGCCTGGTGTGGACAGAGGTCTGAGATGAGACAGAGCATGCATGAGCAGCAGAACAGAGTGCTGGATGGGACCAGAGCAGGAGATGAGAGCTGAGTCTGCTTCTGCCCCAGGCTGGACGGGTACTATTGCATGTCTATGGAGAGATTTGCATGTTCCAGAAGCTGTGAGGTGTCTGCAGAGCCAGGCTGCTGCTTGGGCCCCTCCTCCTCCCAGGCCACAGGCTTAGAAGGCTTGTAAGTGGAGAGTAACATGATCAGATTTGTTTTTTAGGAAGATTACCCTGGCAGCTACCATGAAGCTGGATTGGAAGGGCCAAAGCTGGAGGCAGGGAGACAGCTGCGAGGAGGGGGGATGGAGGGATGAACCTGGAAGCTAGAGCCATTCTAGGTAGACTCCCCTAAATGTGGGGGTGGCTGAGAAGCAGGAAGTAAGGTTGACACAGGATCCAGGCTCTAGACATTCAGTAGCTAGAGGCACCTGGGGGTACCTTGAAGATAGGATTCATCTGGCCTTTGTAGGGTGAGTGTGTGTCCTGGTTTGCTCCAGCCAGTTTTGGTTTATGCCTGTGTTCTAGTATAATGATTAGTAGCTACCCTTGTTCATTTCTAGAAATGTCCTTATTTGGGACATAAATTATATGGTCACCTTGTTTTCAAAGTTTAATGATGACTTAGGACAAGGTAGGTTGGTTTGGTTTGCAGAGGTGTTAAGTGGAGACATTCAGGTTTGCTGGCTGTCAGACCCCCAGCAAGATAGTAGAGACAGCCTGGGTTTATAAGGCTGGGGCTAGAATTTCCAGGTTATCCATGGGAAGAGTAGACCAAGGTGTGAAGGGAGCCACACGGGAGGGTACAGAGTTTGGCAGGATAGGATCCATGCCTAGTGCTGGGGAGCATCGAGCAGGACTGGTGAGTCCTGAAGTTAGCCCTAGGATTTGGCCATTGGGAGGTAATTCGTGACTTTAGAGGGAGCAGCTGCAAGCCTGGGACCAGGCAAATGAGAGTGCATTAGTACGGAAGGGAGGGAAAGGCACCCCTGGCTGTAAGGAGAGGCAACATGAATGTTGTTTGGGTTTTGTTATTTTGGGGGAATGCATACCTGGAATTGAACTCAGGGGCACTCAACCACTGAGCCACATCCCCAGCCCTATTTTGTATTTTACTTAGAGACAGGGTCTCATTGAGTTGCTTAATGCCTTGCTTTTACTGAGACTGGCTTTGAACTCATGATCCTCCTGCGCCACCACTCCAGCTAGTTTGGGTTTTGCTGTTGATATTTTACAGATTAAAGCAGCATATCCCTTGCACAGGAGCAAACCCTGTGTTTGGTGGAGGGGAAGGGCTAGGAGCAAGGGAGGAGAGGCGATGGCTGGAATGAAGTATGAGGAGGGGAGGATGGGATGTGGAGTGCAGGGGAGCAGAGATTTCCCACAAGGGTCCCTGCACAGCTTCTACTCAGGGGAAAATAGAAGTGGCCTGGGGCTCAGTTTGTCCAAGACAGGATGAGAGGGTGCCAGGAAGGAGCTGGGTGGAAAGCATGAGGTCCTATGTTCTGGGCCCCAGGCCACCTCCACCAGGCCCAGCCAGGGAATCCCTGCCTTTTTGGAATCTCAATTGTTGAATCTATATGTTGGATGAGCCAGCCAGGAAAGTTCTAGGATTTCCAGACTGAGCAGAGCAGCAAGGAGGACACTAGGTCCTCTTAGTGATGACAGAGCAGATGGGACTGGCCCTGGATCATGTGACCTCCAAGAACTTTTCCTAAGCTAGTAAGAGGAGAGTTTGACAGTTATTCTCAATTTTCTCCCCCAGAAGACATCCAGGCACATCAGTGGTGGAGGAGGAGGAGCAGGAGCAGGAGCAGGAACAGGAGCAGGAGCAGGAGGAGGAGGAGGAGCAGGAGGAGGAGGAGGAGGAGGAGGTGGCAGCGGTGGTGGTGGCAGTGGAGGTGGCACAGGGGGAGGCAGCAGTGGCTTCATCTCTGGCAGGAGAAGCCGGTCAGCATCACCATCCACCCAGCAGGAGAAGCACCCTGCTCACCATGAGAGGGGCCAGAAGAAGGTGAAGTCTTCCCCTCCACTGTTTCACCACACACATTCACAAACACATGCCTCTTTCCAGAAGCTACCACAGGTGTCCCCAGCTCTTGGATCCTGCTCCCTTCCTTCCTCTGAGGCCACTGAGGGGGCTGAGGAAGTAAAACGTGAGGGCCAGAGAGAGCGAGATGGGACCTGGCTTCCTTGTGCTTTTTGTGTTTGTATGATTCTTCCTTGTCCTTCCCATGACATGACTGTGACCCCAAAGCCCCAGGCATGTGGCCCTGCACATTTGCACATTTCCACAGTCTAGCCATGTGCTAGCCCAGTTAGTAAGTACACATGCCTGTGTCCCCTCATGCCACATATTACAGGGCACCCATCCCTCTGCACAGCTCTGTGTCCCTGGTAGACACCCTTGCATGAGCATGCTTTTATATGTACATGGTGCTCTGTGTCACTGGCGTGATAATGGGACAAGCTATTTTTAGCAGGCAGGGAGCTTGAGGGGGAGGGGCTCCAAGCACTTAGAGGACCTTGCTCAAGTCACTCCTGTCCATCCAGAATGCCCTATTCTTCCACAGGGGGAGTTGACTCCCAATAAGTCCCATCCTTGAGACGAGATCTGTGCCCCACACACACAAGTCATGTTTATCCTCCCCCAGGTGATTCCCCAGCATCAATATCTGGTTACTTTTCCCTCCCCAGAGTCGAAAGGACAAAGAACGCCTTAAACAGAAGCACAAGAAGCGGCCTGAGTCCCCTCCCAGCATCCTTGCCCCGCCTGTGGTCCCCACTGCTGACAAGGTACTGCTGCCCACATTCAGCAGGGATGGCGTGCTTCTCTTGGATGGCAGTGAGTGGGAGGGCAAGTGTGAGGACTCAGGGTGAGCCAGGGACTTGCCTGGGTACCTTCTAACTTCTGGTTAACATCATTCCCCTCCCTAAAATCCCATCCCTCCACTCCCTTTTCTGGACTAGAAGGGACCTGAACTCCTGCTCCCCAAGCACTGACCACCCATGAGGGTGAGGTTGGGTTCATGTCTGCTTCAGTCCAGAAAGAGGGCCTCAGCCCTGGGCTCTTATATACAGAGAATCAGTGTACAACACTCAGGTCCATTCTACAAGTTCTGGGACCCACCCCTCCAGAGATAGGCAGAGGGCCCCTCTACCATTGGAAGAGCACCCAAAACCTTTTGCTTCACCCAGATCCCACTCCATGCAGGTTAGAAGGGCTGAAAGCGCCGACTGTGGGGACAAGGAGGGCAGGCCCCAGGAGAGCACCCTGAGATCCTCATTCATCCCACCCTTCCCAGCAGGGGCGTGGTATTCAGGCCTGTCTCCAGAAATGGACAACATCTGGATAAGCAACAGGCAGATCCTACTCTAAGCCAGGGAGTTGCTAATCCAAGCCAGAACAGCCCTCCTGGCTCTCCCTCCAACCTGCCCTTCCCATGAAAGGAGAACCCTGGGGGTCTGGAGAAACTGCTTCCTCCTGTCCCATTATTGCCAGTCATCTCCACCCTACCTCAGATGGTTGGCAGAGCTCTGGGCATCTTAGCAGGAGGCTCAGGTATCAGGTTTCCAGGGTGATGTTGCTGTAGTAACTGCCCCAGTAACCCTCTCCCCTCCTGCTTCCCAGTGCTCACCTGGAAAAGCTTGTCATTCATACCCTCTGACCTTTCCAGGGGCCCACAGGCAGGTGGAAAGATCTGGGGAGTTCCTCCAGTAACTGGGTGTCCCTTGGACATGCCAGAGATTTTTGCCCATCCCCCTCTACCCGCCCCAACATTTCATTTCCCCTTCCCCCCAGCCCCTTTCTTCCCTTACTCTCAGAACTACATCTGGCTCCCTTCAGAACTCCAGCTGCTGAAAAGAACAAAGACAGAGACCAGGGCTCCACCCAGGGAGGGGCAGTGCAGGGCGGCTCTCATTTTCCCATCAATTCTCCCTCTAGCATTTGTTCATTTAGCACTGTTTACTGAGTGTACCTGGTCTCTGTCTGGGAGGAAAAGTGCCTTCCCCAGCAATAATACAGAACATGAACTCAGACATGCCAGGTACTCTTCTAGAACTGGGAGATGGAAGGGATACATGGGAGTGCTTCATTTAATTTAATCCTCAAATAGTCCAAAGAAGTAGGTAATTTGCCTAAAAACACACAGTGAGTAAGTGTCAGAGTCAGGTTTTGAACCCAGGAAGTCTGGTGTGGAGGCCCATGCTCTTACCCACCACATAGCACTCTCTGTGCTGGATATTAGCAGCTGCCACGGTCATTTATTGACCCCCATCATGTCTCTGGCATGGAGTCCCTCATAACTCTCCAAGTATACATAATTTACCCTGTGAGGGCACTAGAGCTCAGCGAGGTTGAGAGACTGAATGACATAACATGGCAGTAAAGGGCAGAGCCTGCCAGGCTCACCCCTCCCCTACTCCAGGGCCCACGCTCCTCCGGTTGCCATCCTGCTGCCCTCTGAGGTTACTGGAGCCTCAGACATTGGATAGCCATTTCAGTGCAAAATGGCAACTGTTGACATGTGAATGTGGGCACGCAGTGCCCTGGAAATAAGGAAGCAGAGTGACTTGTTCCACCTGTGTGTTAGGGAGATTTTATAGAAGTAGGAGCTTCTGAGCTGGAGTTTGAAGGAAGAGCAGTTTCCTGTGAAGAGTGAGGATAGGCTCTCAGGGAGAGGGTTCTGTCTGCAAGCTCAAGTTGTCTTGTAAGAACATGAAATTGTCAAGAGAATGGGGCAAAAACCAGGTGACTGACTTGGGGACAGGGAGGGAATAATAGCAACTGGAGCACCTAAGGCTGGGTCTAGAGAAGCCTAATCTCCTTGACCTCTTCCCTGCCTATGCCACTTCCAAGCCTGGGCAAGTCCTCTCAGGCCCCAAAGTATTTGCATGAGTGAACCTCCAGTTGAGCTGGCCAGTGTAACCACAAATCGGTTCTCTCCTTTGCCCCGTCTTCCTGCCTGAAGTGGCATTGAGTCTTCCTCTCTCCTCCCCTCCCTCAGGTTTCTTCCTCAGCTTCCTCTTCCCACCATGAGGCCAGCACGCAGGAGACCTCCGAGAGCAGCAGGGACTCAAAGGGGAAAAAGTCTTCCAGCCATAGTCTGAGTCATAAGGGGAAGAAGCTGAGCAGTGGGAAGGGTGTGAGCAGTTTTACCTCCACCTCCTCTTCCTCCTCCTCCTCTTCCTCCTCTGGGGGGCCCTTCCAGCCTGCAGGTGAGTGTGGTGTCCAGGAGCAGGCTAGGAGTGGGGACAGCTTCTTGCCCCACACTTTTCTAGCGAGGGCCTTTGTACTGGTATAGTTTTAGAAACTGGTGGTAGGGGACCCCTACCCAGTGACTCCTCGCCCAGCCATCCATCCCTCTCACCTTCCCTATAGAAATGGAGCTCTCCTTCCCTTCCTCAGGGGAAGGCTGCCCTCCAACCCCACAATACTCACTATCCCCCACACTTGTGCTGCAAGGGGCCATTTTTTAAAGCACCAATATTCGTGTTATTTCCTAAAAACTGCGGGTATCCAGTGAGGTCATTGGGGTGGGAGTTCCTCCCCTCCCATTGTGCTGTCAAGGGGAAGGCTGGAGGGTGGGGACGTTCATCTCAGAACACAGAGATGGGCCAAGCTCTGCCAAGGAGCCAGGCTTTCCCCATTCCCCAGTCAGAGCTCTCCTCACAGTGTGAGGTGCATGTGGAACGGGAGGGAGAGGGGAGCTGCAATGCAGCCATAACTCCTTTCCCTCTGCTCACAGGTTCATCCCTGCAGAGCTCCCCTGACTTCTCCACATTCCCCAAACTGGAGCAGTCAGAGGATGACAAGTACTCCAAACCCACAGCCCCTACCCCGTCAGCCCCTCCCTCACCTTCAGCTCCTGAACCCCCCAAGGCTGACCTCTTTGAGCAGAAGGTGGTCTTCTCTGGCTTTGGGCCCATCATGCGCTTCTCCACCACCACCTCCAGCTCAGGCCGAGCCCGGGCCCCCTCCCCTGGCGACTATAAATCTCCCCACATTTCGGGGTCCGGGACCTCAGCAGGCACCCACAAGCGGATGCCCACATTGAACGCTACCCCTGCACCTGCTGAGGAAACCCCTGAGACAGGCCTGAAGGAGAAGAAGCACAAAGCCAGCAAGAGGAGCCGACACGGGCCAGGCCGTCCCAAGGGCAGCCGGAACAAGGAGGGTGCTGGGGGCCTGGCTACCCCCTCCTTACCTGGTGCCCAGCTGGCTGGCTTTACCGCCACTGCTGCCTCACCCTTCTCCGGAGGCTCCCTGGTCAGCTCTGGCCTGGGGGGTCTGGCCTCCCGCACTTTTGGGCCTTCCGGGAGTTTGCCCAGCCTGAGCCTCGAGTCCCCACTGCTGGGGGCAGGTTAGTGTGACCCCTGGCGACAAAGAGTATCTCAGGGCTGAGCCAGTCTTGTGAGGGGACAGAGGCATAAAGATGTAATTAGAAGGAAATATGATAAAAACTGCTCCAAAGAACAGAGATAAAAGGGAGATGATAGTCACCTCTAAGACACTCCCCTATACCACTATACCAGTCTTCTCTATGGTTATAGTGGGAGAGATTGGGGTAGATTGCCCCAGTAGGGCTCATATTTTGGGAGGGAATTAGAAGGCTTAGCATTGTCCAGACCTGGGCAGGGCAGCCTGGTAAGGTGTCATAGCAAGCACCACACAGGAGGGTTAGACTGGAGTGTGTGGCCAAATCCTGGGAATGTACTGTCTAGAGAGACCTCTTCCAGCCACTTGACTGAAGAGCAGTCTGGGGTGGAAGGTAACTGTAGCCTTTCCTTTGTGTCTCTTTAGGCATCTACACCAGTAATAAGGACCCCATCTCCCATGGTGGTGGGATGCTGCGGGCTGTCTGCAGTACACCCCTCTCCTCCAGCTTGCTGGGGCCCCCAGGGACCTCAGCCCTGCCCCGCCTCAGCCGCTCCCCATTCACCAGCACCCTCACCTCCTCCTCTGCTTCCATCTCCACCACTCAGGTGAGGCCTTACTCCTGGCTCCTTCCCTGGGTAGGTGGGGGACAGACTGCCAGGACCCAGCCCTATGTGGGAATTCAAGAAGGTGGGCTTGATTGCCACCAGAACTTCCCCTCTCTCTGATCTTCTTTCCTCCCAGTATGCCTCATCCCCCCACCACCCCAGCACACAATTGTGCCCTAGATCCAAAAATAACCACCAGGCTGGATTCTCCCTCCTTCCCCCAGGTGTTTTCTCTGGCTGGCTCTACCTTCAGCCTCCCTTCTGCCCACATCTTTGGAACCTCTATGGGCGCTGTTAACCCCCTTCTCACCCCAGCTGAGAGCAGCCATACAGGTAAATGAGTCTCAAACTGTTCCCTTTTCTTCCCAAAGGCCTGAGGGAATGTGAACCCAAAAAGGATGTGAAGGCTTGCTGGCTGCCCCCTCCCTCTGCCACTGCTCACTCTGCAGAAAACAAAACAAAAAACTTCACACAAACAAACCCAGGGACACTTTTCCAGTGAAGGGGCAAGGCAAGGCAGAATTACCATTCCATCTCACAAAAGAAAAAGACAGAGAGAAATGATGCTCAAGGTGGGGAGGATAGGGAATGACAGAGCCAGAGTGCAAAGACGGAGCTCCAGACTCCAAGCTCAGTGCTCTTACACTGAGGCCTTGTTCTTTCCTGCTTCTTAGTGCTGCTTGGGATTGGCGGTTAGGAGGCCCCAACAGCTGGGCTCCCTGCTCTCCCAGCTTTGAGGAGTTAAGGGGCCCAGCTGCAAGCTCCCAGGGCTCCCTGGAGAGTCAGCCCAGCCCCAGAAAGATGATTGGTGCAGAGACACCACCTGTCAGACTAGGGGATGGGGCTTATCTCTAGGTGGCCTGCTAAGGTAATCCTTAAAGGGGCCAAAGTTGATACATTTTTGTAGACCCAACAGAGTAGAGTGATTATTATTTCCAAGACCCAAAGCAGGATTCTGTGATGCAACAAAGTTTTGCCTTTTAACTTCAGAGTTCATAGTAAGTCATCCAAGCCAGGCATGGTGGTGGATGCTTGTACTCCCTGCAACTCTGTAGACTGAGGCAGAAGGATTGCAAGGCCAGCCTAGGCAACTTGGCAGACATCCTGTCTCAAAAAAAATAAATAAATAAAAAGAACAGGATGTAACTTAATGGTAGAGCACCTCTGGGTTCAATTCTCAGTACCAAAAAAAAAAAACAAAACAACAACAACAACAACAACAACAAAAAAAAACCCCAAGGGCTAGGGATTGTGTTCAGTGATAGAACACTTACCTAATGTGCACATGGCCCTGGGTCTGATGATTCCTGTCATGGGATGGGGTCTATGTGTTTGGGGATGTCATACAAGGCTAATTATAATAATGCCAGCTAAACCACTCCAGCCAAACACTTCTTTTTTTTTTTTCACATTTCTTATTTTAATCCTAATTAACAATCACTTCAAAGAGGTTAGTTAGGAGCCCAAGGCTACCCAAAAAATAGTGTTGGGTTCAAATTCAACCTAGGTTGCAAATGACTGTAACTCCAAAGCTCACTGGAAAGAAATTGGGAGGTGGATCTGGAAGTAGGCAGCAGGAGCCCTAGAGAAAGGGGAAGAGAACCTCCTACAAGACAGGGTTTCCAAGCCAGGACTCTCAGCGTCTTAGCAACTTGAACTGCCAGTCTGGGATTGGGGATCCTGGGGAAAGGGGTCTTAAATGACGTTCCAAATCCTGCACCCACTTTCCTGGGCGGGGACCCAGAGGCTGACGGCTCCCCTTCTTCGCTGATTCCTCCCCTCCCTTCTCCTTCCAAGAGCCAGACCTGGAGGACTGCAGCTTCCGGTGTCGGGGGACCTCCCCACAGGAGAGTCTGTCTTCCATGTGAGGGAGGGGGCGGCGGCTTGGGAGGAGGCGGATGGGAGCGGGGGCAGGAGGGGCGCTGGAGGGAGGGCGGAGGGACTGACAGGGGAGGGGGCGGGAACCGAAGGGCCAAGTGGAAGTCCTGAGGGGGGAGGGAGAGCCTGAAGTAGGGGCACGAGGTAAGCCTGAACCTAGTTTCTCTTACGACCCCAGGTCCCCCATCAGCAGCCTCCCTGCACTCTTCGATCAAACTGCGTCCGCACCTTGCGGGGGCGTCCAGCTAGACCCTGCAGCCCCGGGAACGACTAATATGGAGCAGCTGCTGGAGAAGCAGGGCGACGGGGAGGCCGGCGTCAACAGTGAGGAGGGGCGGCGCGGGGCTGAGAGACCTGCCCGAGGGCTCCGGCCTCATCTTTCTCTCCGAGGGCCCCAACCTCTTTAGGGTTCCACCTCTAGGCCCCGCCCCGCCTTGACTTAAGGCCAACCCCAGGCCTCACCTGTAACCCTGGTCAGTCCCGGCCCCGCCTCCTTTGCGTGCGGCCTTTGACCCTCTTGGCCCAGACCTTCCCAAACTCCAACTTCCTCTAGCTCCTCGTCCAGTCTTGTGGGTATCAGGTCCCGCCCTGGCGCTCACAGCTCTGGTCCCCAGTCTCTCCTCCGAGCTCACCTGTGTTGCTCGCTAGGCTGGCGCAGCCTCCTGGAGGTTTCTGGCCCCGCCCCAGCCCCGCCCCAGGCTCCGCCTCGCCCCCGCCCACCCAGCGCCGGGCCTCAGGCTCCCTCGCCCTCTCCGCAGTCGTGGAGATGCTGAAGGCGCTGCACGCGCTGCAGAAGGAAAACCAGCGGCTGCAGGAGCAGATCCTGAGCCTGACGGCCAAGAAGGAGCGGCTGCAGATTCTCAACGTGCAGCTCTCTGTGCCCTTCCCCGCCCTGCCTGCAGCCTTGCCTGCCGCCAACGGCCCTGTCCCTGGACCCTATGGCCTGCCTCCCCAAGGTAAGGGCCTCCAGCCCAACCCTGGAGTGGAGGTCCTTGCCTGGTGGTTCCAAGTGGGGCGACCCCATTTCAATCCCTGACCGCCCTTCCTCCTTCAGCCGGCAGCAGCGACTCCTTGAGCACCAGCAAGAGCCCTCCAGGGAAGAACAGTCTTGGCTTGGACAACTCGCTGTCCACATCCTCCGAGGTGGGTACCATGAGGAGGGGTCAGGGAGGAGTGGGGCTGGTGGAGACTCAATGTCCTCCCGGTCACATCTCTACCCTGCCGCTATTGGAGGCTGGGCAGTGAAGTGATTTGCTGAGCAGTTAATCGATTGGTTCATTCATTCCTTTAACAAGTAATATTTATGAGGCGCCTACTTAGTGCCAGGCACTTGCTTAGCAATCAATGAGCAAAACCTACACAATCATCCTGAAGATAGGACAAATCCAAGAAAACGATAAATAATTACAAACCAGGAGAAGTGCTAAGATGGAAGTAAATTGAGGGGTGTAAGAAAGAATAGGGGAGGGATTCTTGGATATAAAGTGGTTAGGGAAGGCCTTTGAGAAGTGTTTGAAGGGTTTATTATAGTGCCTCACACAAAATAATCCCTACATAATTGGTGGTGGTTGGAATAGCAGTTGCTATTGTTATATTGTGGTTATTATTGGAATCAACAAACTGGGTTCTTATTCTCTCTCTGCCACTTACTGACTGTGTGACTTGGACAGTCATAGTCATAAAAATAACCAACATTAATTGTATACTTAACCTCTATCATGCCTTGAAGATTTTAAAGCATTGGTTTATTTAGTCTTCATAATAGTCCTATGGAGTCAGTGCTACTGTTATCTGCAGGTAATAAGTAAGTAAACTAAAGTTGAACCCAAGGCCACCCAAGCCATTGCATTTCAGACATAGATTTGAACCTGAGCCTCTTTGTCCAGCTGTAGCACTCTCCTGCAGAATTACTTAACCTAACAGTCAGTGGCTTCATTCATATAGTGAGAATAGCAAGGTAGCAAAGATCAAGCACTAGCCTTTAGATATGGTTTGCTGGAAGGTCACTATCATTACTATGGTTCATTATTCAGCAAGCATGATACGGGGTGCCAGGCCCCCAGGAAATGGTCAGTAAACATGAATTATGAAGACTGGATTCATAGCTTTCATCCCTGGGCCTTGTATCTTGGGCCAGGGTTCTTGGGGTGAGGTGGGGTGGCTGTACTCTGTGAGAATGCTGGGCTGGGGGCCAGAAGGTTCATGCTGGCCCTCTGCCCTCTGACCACTGCCTTCCCCCTCCCTCCCCAGGACCCACACTCAGGCTGCCCAAGCCGCAGCAGCTCGTCGCTGTCCTTCCACAGCACGCCCCCACCGCTGCCCCTGCTCCAGCAGAGCCCTGCCACTCTGCCCTTGGCCTTGCCTGGGGCCCCTGCCCCACTCCCGCCACAGCCACAGAATGGGTTGGGCCGGGCATCTGGGGCAGCAGGGCTGGGGGCCATGCCCATGGCTGAAGGACTGTTGGGGGGGCTCGCAGGCAGTGGGGGCCTGCCCCTCAATGGGCTCCTGGGGGGGTTGAATGGGGCTGCCGCTCCCAACCCTACAGGCTTGAGCCAGGCTGGTGGGGCCCCCACGCTGCAGCTGCCAGGTTGTCTCAACAGGTGAGGGAGAGTTCAGCCCTGGGGAAGGGAGTGGGGAGGCTGGCTCTGGGAGGGATTCCCCCAATAACACCCAAATCCCCCAAAGGGTATATAGTCTTTGTCATCTCTTGGTCTCTAGGGACTCCTTACACTGTCATCTCTGAGTGCCTCTGGGTGTAAGTGGCCCAGGACCAAGAATCTTTCTCACCCATCAGCCACTCTAGGTCTTCCCTCTGGGGCAGTCCTTCAGTCTTACAGTGTCCCTCTCCCCTCACCCTCTGAACTTAGTTCTCTAAACCTGCACCTCCCTGCCTCTCCTCACCTGGGTCTGAGGGAGTCTGGGAGCTTGTAGGGGTGGGGAGGAATGCTTCCTTGCACCTTCCCCATGGTCCCTGTGTCCCCTGCTTCAGCCTGACCGAGCAGCAAAGACACCTCCTTCAGCAGCAAGAGCAGCAGCTCCAGCAGCTCCAGCAGCTCCTCGCCTCCCCACAGCTCACCCCGGTAATGTTCCTCCCTTCCCTGGCTCCTCAGCAGCCCTGTGCTTTCCCTTTTCCCAGATCTCAGAGGACCTGGATCAACCCAGGGAGGGCAGCAGTGGAGGGGGGCTCTTCAGGCTGAGTGGATATTGAGCCTGTGGGGCTGGTGAGGGGCAAGGGGACAAGAATATTCTCAAGGTCACCAGGCATTGGGAAAGGGATGCTGCCATGGCCCCAGATCATGTCCCAGTAAAGGGTGTATAGGGTGGCAGGTTGAGTAACAATAGCCTTCTGATCCCAGCCCCAAGGATCTTTAGGGAGAGGGAATTACAGGGTCTTAGTGGAAAGGTGACTGAGCAGGGGACACTGTCAGCCAGGGCAGGTTCTTTTTTTCTTTTTTTTTTTTTTTTTAAATTTTTTAATATTTATTTTGTAGTTTTCAGTGGATACAACATCTTTGTTTGTATGTGGTGCTGAGGATCGAACCCGGGCCGCATGCATGCCAGGCGAGCGCTCTACCGCTTGAGCCATATCCCCAGCCCAGGGCAGGTTCTTTTGGGTGTATTTCAGGTTGGGTTCCGCTAAGGTTTGCTTTGGAGGAAGGAGTTTCACTTTTAAAAATGAGGAAGTTGGGCTGGGGATGTGGCCCAGTGGTAGAGCACATGCTTAGCACCGAGGCCTTGGGTTCCCTCCCAGCATCAAAGTACCTAAATAAATCACAGTAAGAATGCTGGAGTTGAGAAAATGGGAAAAATAAATATTTTCATATAAAGAAACGTTGGAAAGATAGAGGGAATAGGATAAGATTTTTTTTTAATTCTTTAAAGCAACATTTCTTTTTATTTATTTTACTTGCGTTTTTGGTGTTGTAGATAGACAACATGCCTTTGTTTTTTTGGGTTTTTTTAATGTGAAGTTAAAGATCAAACCTGGTGCCTCATGTGCTAAGCAGACACTCTGCCACTGAACTACAGCCCCCGCCCAGAAGCAACATTTCTTAATGTAAATTTTTATATAATTATTTTGGTTTTGGAACACTAGGAATGCTTTGCCTATTCAAAACAAAAACAATCAATTTTTTAAAACAAAAAAGAGGAGTTGAAAACTGTTGACCTCATTTATTGTTTCTTGCCTTGGGGTGATACCACTCCTGGGAGCATTTGTGGTTGTCATAGTAACTGAGGAACTGATTGAGAGGGCTGGTCCAGAGATATTTGTTCTGCACTTGGTCCACAGTGTCCGGCTTATGGACACTGAGGCTGTGCAACCATTTTCTTATCCAAATAGGAAGAGTTAGGCCCAGAGTAGGAAGTTAGAGACAGAACCTTGACCATCTCCCCTGTCTCCTGCCTCATGGTTCTGGTGATAACGGATAGAGCCCAGGACCCAGGCTGGCAGCAAGGAGAGACAGCGGGGACCTTGGCCATAAGCAGCCTGGCCTCCTTGCAGGAGCACCAGACGGTTGTCTACCAGATGATCCAACAGATCCAGCAGAAGCGGGAGCTGCAGAGGCTGCAGATGGCTGGGGGCTCCCAACTTCCCATGGCCAGCCTGTTGGCAGGAAGCTCCACCCCACTGCTGTCAGCGGGCACCCCTGGCCTGCTGCCTGCGGCATCTGCCCCGCCTCTGCTGCCCGCTGGAGCCCTTGTGGCCCCCTCACTCAGCAACAACACCAGTCTCATGGCGGCAGCAGCTGCAGCTGCAGCAGTCGCAGCTGCAGGCGGACCTCCAGTCCTCACTGCCCAGACCAACCCCTTCCTCAGCTTGTCGGGGACGGACAACAGTGGCAGTTGCCCCAAAGGAGGGGTGAGTAAGGGGTCCAAACCTTCCTGTCTCCCTTCTGAGGGATGGGCAGAGATGGACCATCAGAATATACATCACCATATGCATCAGCAGGGGAATGTCAGCAACCCCCAGGTTAGACAGGTGCCCTGCTCCAGATCCAGGGCCTCTGCTCCACATGGGTGCCCTCCTGCAGAGCCAAGAAGGGTCCACTCTGAGCTAGGGCTAATAGTAAAAGGATCAGTTAGAAAGCGGCCTTCCTCTGGAAGACCAATTAGGAAGTGCCATTTCCTTTCTGAGTGACCAGTTAGAGGAAGGTGCCCCTCTAGGAGGGCCATTGAAAAAGAGGCTCTTCTCCTTCTGAGGGGACACAACCCGAGCCCAGGAAGCCAGTCTTGCTGGCATATGTGCTCACAACTCCCCCACCCCTGCACCTGCCAGAGCCTAGGCAGGACCCTTCTGACCGCCTCCCTTTCAGCACTTGGGGCAGCTTTCTTGTCCCAGGAAGATGGTCGTAGGTAGGCTTTAAGGCCACACATCTCCAAAATCCCCAGCCTCCCTTCCTCTCTTTCCAGACCGCTGACAAAGGAGCCTCAGCCAACCAGGAAAAAGGCTAAATCTACCTGTACCCCTCCTGACCCCTAAATGGAGGGGACAGATCCTGGCTTAAGGGGTCCTATCCTGGAGCAGGCATCTGGGCCCAGACACTGGAAGAACCCCGACCCAGAGCCTGTGCTGAGGCCCAGGGAGTGTTGGGGGCTCCTGGTGCAAGGACTGAGATTGGGAGGGGAGCCCCTTCCATCTGCATCCCCACCCCCTGTCTGCACTGTCTGCTTTGTGAGAAGCTCAGAGGGAGGACAGGCTCTAAGCCTGCCTAGGAGCCCCCACCCTCAGCAAATGTTTTGAGGTCCCCCAGAGAGCAAAGTGGGCCATGACGTAAGTGTGGGATTGGTTGGACCCACCACATAAAACAGATCAGCACTTGAAAGGGGAGCAGTGGAGGGTAGACCTAGGCTTATCCCTGCATGGAAGTCTTCATGGAAGAAGGGCTGGCCCCACTTGACCTGCAGTTTCTTCCCAATCTGGGCAAATGGCAGAAGGGATCCCTTTGACTGTTTCTCACTGTCCCTCTCCCTCACCAAGGGTCACAAGCTGAGCTTGTAAAAGCCCACAGATGTAGGGGGAGTGAGGAAGGGCAAGACAGCATCAAACCCAGGCCAGGCCTCCTGCACCTCTTGTGACCCCACTAGTGGGGCATAGGGAGGCCCTCACCGTCCTTGGTGCCCTGCCCCTTGTTTGCACTATTGGCTTGAGGAGTGCGGAGGGTGGGGAGACGGAGCTGGCTGACTCAACAGTGTGAGTGTGTCTGTGTGCATGTGTATGTGTGTGTGTGTGTTTCTGTCTGTTTGTCTGTCTTCCCCTGGACCTGGGGCCGCAAGGGCAGAAACAGGCGCAGTGGTTAGCACCAGAGGGGGAAGCTCCCAGCTCTTGTTTGTACCCTCCCCCCTCACCAACTCTGGCCCCTTTCAGGGGCATGAATGGTTAACAAAAAACCAGAAAAGTACTCCAGTTTTGGAGAGTAACTGGGGGCTAGGGGTTTTGAATCAGGGTAATATCCTGCCTTCCCTCCTCCAGACCCCACTTGGTCTCAGGGCCCCCTGGGCCCCCTTCCCTTATTGGTAGTTTGGTCCATTTTCCCTAACACAAGGGGGACCCCAGGGATTGGGAGAGGGAACAAGGGAGGTGAAGTGCCGCTTCTTTCAGTAAAAGTCTCCCTCCCAGAATTAGCCAGCCTGCCCTCGCGCACTCCACCCCACCCCCACCAACTAGGGGAGCCACTGAAGCTGACCTAACAGCTGTCTCCTCACCCACCAGCTATTTCCCTGGGGTGTTGTGGGCAGTTCTCACTGTAAAGCAGTCCCCATCTGCCCAGGGCCTTTGGCAGCAAAGGCTGAGTGGGCCACTGGAAGACTGGAGACCCGTGTCCCTGTCTCACTTGCACTGGGGTGGAGCTGTTGGTCCTTTGGCATTTCCAGCTTTCCCTGAAGCTCAAGTCCTGTTGGTCTCTTTGCATGTGTGCATTTTTGTGTGTGTGTTTCTGTTTGGGTTTTTGTTGTTGTTGGGATTTTTTTGTTGGTTTTTTTAAATAAAGAAAAGAAGATGTGTATATTTTTGGCAATGACAGAAACGTAGTGCAGATATATTTTTGCCTGTGCTGCTCAACTGTTTTTTTTTTCTGATATGGAAAATAATATTAATATTCCTGTTGATAAGACTTTGTAAGATGTTAGGGAGCTAATGATGGGGTGGGTGGGAATTCTTCAGAGGCAATTTCTTAGGCACTTGCAAGGGCTTGGGGGTGGGGGGGGACGGGGGCAGTTGTGATGACCTCAGAAATACTCACTTTTTATTAATGCTAAATATCAGTTAGAAAGACATGATAGAATTCAGCATTTTATTCATCTTAATCTATTAAGCTCTTTAACTCCCTGCCCCAAGCCACTAAAAAACAAAGTAACCTTAAGAGATTCTTAGGAGAGTCACCCATTCACATCCATGCCCTGGCTGAAGGCTGGCTATCAGAGCTGAAGTCTATTTCTATTCTGATGGAAGGGAAGGACATCCACACCAAGATCACCGTATGGAAGTGAGGTCCAAATGACTTAGTGCACTGGAACCGAGACCACTTCCTGCACACCACTCTGCCCTCCCCAGCCCCACTTCCTTCACCTCCACAAATCTGTTCTCCAGTTTTCCCAAGTTCATATTCCCCAGGCTGGAATGTTGCAACAGGTAGTTGGGTTAGATTTGAAGAAGGGCTTCCCTGGTCATGGACTGGTGCTGCTGTCCACCTCCACACCCCCGCCCCAGGGGGCATGAGACTGGTGGCAGCACTTCCTTCTGACCAGGCATGATAGGAAGCTCTGAAGAGCCTCATGGGGAGCAGCATACCAGTGCAAGAGAGGATGGCCACAATGACCTCACCCTCTTCCAGCCTCAGTCTATTCTTTGAGAATGGATGGACGTGGGAGGAGATGCAGATTTGTGGAGCTCTCAGTCTAGGGGTTAGGAAGGATGTGGTTTGTAGAGCAGAAGTGGAGTTTGAAAATGCATGAGTGGAGCTTTGTGTGTTGCCACCCTCAGCAAAGAGACATGAGTGGGTGTGCATGCTGAGCCAGTGCCAGCCAAGGGGTCACAGCTGGTGGATGTTGGAGCTGGAAGGGACCTGTCTTTGGGGATCATTGGAGTTGACTCCTGGCTTCACAGGTGATAGTTCCAAGTCTAGGAGGGGCAGGTGTTCAGTGTAGAGCCAGGACTAGCTTCAGGACCTGGCCTCCTTGTCCTGAGCTTCCCTGCCCCACTGCATGGCCTCTCTGGCTCAGTGTCCCTATATGGTGTGAGTGCAGGGCTGTGCCCAGGGTGGGAAGGTATCTGTATAGCACTGACAGTCCTAGTTCAGAGCTGATGGATTCTTTCCATAGACAATGACACTTTAAGGGTTGCCTTTAAACAAAAAAAAACAAAAAAAAAAAATTTTTTTTTCCTGTTTGTGAGGTTTTTCCCTCAGGCTCCTGGGTCCACTGCTTCCTTCAAGTGCCCTGACCTTGAGGCTGATCTAGGAGCCTTGCCCTCTCTTATGCTGAGACCTGGAGAAGTTCTAACTCCAGGACTAATGGGAAAGGCCTAGACAAATGAGGAGAGCTTTGGGTGGGACAGCTTCCAAGGAGTAACCTTCACACTTCCCTTTCCCAAACTGGAAATGCTGACAGGTTTTCAAACACAGGCTCCTGCCAGCTTCCAGGACTTCCTTGGTGTGGAGTGGGCCAGAGTGAGGGGTAGGTAGCTTGTTCCCAGTTCTCCTTTATCCCAATTTATTTTCCTGGGGAGAGGTGCCTAGAGGGATGGAGGTAACTTAACTGGGAATTTGGAGGAAGATGGGGCTGAACTGCCCTGGCTCCTTCCCAGCCACATCTACTCAGATTAAAAGCATGTCCAGCTCCCTCAGACCAGTTGGTCTTGATCTACTAAAAGGGGCTAAAGGGTGCCCTCACTCTCCTTTGTTCACTTTCTCCAGACCAACTTGGGACTTGGGTAGTGGGACTGGAGATCCAAACCCTGGCTCCCCCACCCCTTCCATCCCAGCCTGTTTCCATGTAGCTGACCCTTCCTAGGGGAGCAGGGAGGGGAAGCCACAAATTGCAAACCCAGGGGCTCCTTTTTCATTCTTTCTAAAACCTCCTTTGTATCCTCAGCCCAAAGGCAATGCTCCCCGTGCCACCTCCAAGCCTGGAATTGTGCATAACCCGGATCTTGTATCTTTGTATAACGGATGTTATTTGTACGAAGGGCAGTTCGTAAACAGCACTTGTTCTTTTAATAAAAGAATGTTTTACAAAAAAAAAAAAAATTCTTCAAAGACCCCGCTTCTGGCTTTATAGAAGGGAAAGGGGAGTGGGGTGCCATTTGTGGGGGCCTGCAGGGAGGAGGGCAGGGGTATGGTCTGTGACACTTTCAGAATTTGGATGCCCGGTGTATACACAAATGCAGATAACAGCCCATGTAACCTACAGGGCCCGGCAGCGGGACTGTGTTTAACAAGCTGGCTGGGTGATGTGGTGTCCTCACACTATGCTTTTGGAAACTGCCTTAGAGTCTTCGGCCCCGTCTGGGGCGAAGTCTGGCTCGTCTGGGAGCTCTCTGCGCACCGCATCCGCAGATGCGCCCTACCCCAGGAGTGCGGGGGAGGTCGGGGCGCACCCCAGAGCAGCCGCCGGGGACTGTGGGCGGGCACCTGCCGAACTTCGGGCCGCGGGGCCCAACTCCACCCGCACGCAGCGGGGTGGTGTCTTCCGGGCTGCGGCGTAGCTGGGCAGGCCGGGGGCGGAGCGGAGAAGGAAGGTGACCCGGACGGGGCGGAGTCAGCGCGGCCTGAGCGGCAGCCTTACGCGACATGGGAGGGATGTTGTGGCCGGTGGCGCTCCGCACCTGGGTGAGCAGCCCTCGCTCCGCGCTCGCTTCCGCCTAGACCTCGGGCCGCCAGGCCCTGCCTCTCCGGGCCCACTGTCCTCGGAGCCCAGGCCAGGCCCTGCCCTTTCCCAAGCCCCGCTTCTCAGCGAAGGGTCCCGAGTCCCCAGGCCGCCTTGTGCTTTGCAGCCCTTCATTGAGCGCCTTCCTCCGCAGTCCACCCAAAAGAGTGCCGAAATGCGGGAGCTGCCCCGCAAGGCTCCTTCTCCTGTGACCCCTTTTTCTTTCCCTCTTGTTTCTCCCATGCCCCTTTGGCCTATCCGGTCTTCACGCCCACACGGCTTCCCTCGACCTCCCCTCTCCACTGATTTTTATTTTTGTTTCCACATCTCTTCTGCCTGTACCAGAGGCGGGACATCTCCTCCTGGCTGGTGAGTATCCCTAGCGTCGTCCTCCTCCCTAGTTCCAGAGACCTTCAGGGCAGAGACCAGGGAATGGAACCAGGAAGGGACGGCCCTGCTCCCATCTTCCAGCACTTTTTTCCTGTTGCCCACTGGCTCTAGAAGAGGTGGGGTGGATCGGATAGCACAGGGTGGGAACCAAGCGCCCCACTGACAAACCAAGCTGTAGGTGTAGGTGGCCCTGCCAAAGGCTGGCAAGATCCTGGCCCTGGGGCCAGCACTTAAGTGGGAGCCAGGATTTGAGGTAAAACTGGAATGCATGCATGGCATTGAAATCCCTTCTCTCTGGAAGTTATGGACCTTAGCACATCCTGGGGGGAATGCTCTTGCCAGGTGGTAGCTGATACATCAGCCTCCCAGAAGCCTGCCATACACCAGGGCAAGCAGGAAATTGGACACTGTGCTTCCAGGGCTTGAGCTGATCCCCACCCCCACCCCCCCATCTTCTTCCCTGGACACAGGACCGATGGTTCCCTAAAGCCCCAGCCAAGTCTGTGGTGGCCCTAAAGACACCTATCAAGGTGAATCTGGTGGCTGGAAAAACCTACAGGTGGTGTGTATGTGGCCGCAGCAAGAAACAGGTGAGACTCCTGCCACCCTTCCCATGCACATGCCATCTCTAGCAGGGGATAATACAGTGTCTTCTGAAAGCTCTCACCTGCTCCTCCTCTTCCTGCATATACCTGAAGAACAGGGGGATTGAGGGGCAACAGTAGCTCCCAGTGCAGTACTACCAGCGAGTGGCCTGGAGCTGGCTGGTCTGCATGCTCCCCTTGAAATGAAGCTGTCAACAACAGCTTAGCACACAGCCAGAGCACTGGAGTCCAAGTGTCCCAATCCTGTGTCCTTCCTCTGGGCATATATCTGGACTCCAGCTCTACTTCCCCCCTCTCCTTCCTGGGCAAAGTTTCCCAAGCTTTAGATCCCCACATGGGAAGATTCTGCCCTGTCTTTTCTGCCTTAAACCCAGCCTTCCCCTGACTCCTGCTCCTCTTTTTCAGAACACCCTCCCCTTTTGCTGCAGCTGTGACTTTCCTAGTTGCTTGCCACAGCCTGCCTTCTTCTTAGCCTGTGGCCTGTTTGCATCCTCTCTTCTCCTGCCCAGGAGCCTTTCATTCCTGGAGGAATCTGACCCATATTCTTGACCTCAGTCCCTTTCCTTCCTCTGGTACAGAACTTATAACTGTTCCTCAAAGCCATGTTGGTAATGTCAGCAATCCAGGGTCCTGAGAACCACTTTACCACTGATATGCTGTGGACTTTAAGCAGGTATTTGTGAGGTGGAACAATGCCAAGGGCATGCCAGCCAGAGGAATGTGGCCTGTGTGGGTGGATTGGCACATGTGCCTCTGCCCATGCCCTTTGAGTCAGGTTGCTGATTTTTATTCGCTCACTTCTTTCTTTGCTCTTATCCTACCCTAGTCCCAAGGTCAAGAGGCCTTGGCTCCAGTTCTGGTCTAACAAAGTGAGTCCCCTCTTTGGGCCTCAGTTTCCATTACTCAGTCTGCTCAGAGGGGTTCTGGGATATTCCTATTTCTGCACCAGGCAGGCAGGTACCCTGGGGCATCCCTTCCTCCCTAACATGCCTGATTATTTACTGGAGCCAAACGAACTGCTCCTGCTGTATTAAAGCACTGTGAAGCGCTTCTCCAATACAGAGAAGTTTTTAGCCTGGGAACATGGGAAAGGAAATGAATTTCATGAAGAAACAGGCTCAGCGGAGCCTAACAAAACCTTAGTACAACATTGTAAATACCTGAGGTTTCCTTTGATCTTAACTCTTGGGTCCTGGTCCTCTGGGTTCCCCACTTCCCTGCAGACTAACAGTTGTAAATACTTATTTTTTTCCAATATGGGGAATTGAAAACCAGGACACTGTACCGTGTGTTACATCCCCAGCATCCCCCTACCCCGATTTTTTTTGTTTGTTTGTTTAATTTCGAGACAGGGTCTCACTAAGTTGCTGAGGCTGGCTACCACACCCAGCATGCTGTAAATACTGAACTTACTATGGGCAAAGGACATAATGACCATTTGTTTTTATTTCCTCATGACAGATCTACTCTTATCAGTGAAGCTGTTCTGGAGCCTGAACCCTAACTACTGGGCTAGCTCTGCCTGGCCTCCGCAGGGGGGCTCAGGTCTTATGACTCTTTTTTTCCCCTCCACCAGCCTTTCTGTGATGGCTCCCACTTCTTTCAACGAACTGGCTTATCCCCACTCAAGTTCAAGGCCCAGGAGACCCGAACGGTGGCCCTCTGTACCTGCAAGGCCACCCAGAGGCCCCCATACTGTGATGGCACCCACAGGAGCGAGCAGGTGCAGAAGGCAGAAGTAGGCTCCCCACTCTGAGGGGGTGGCTACTTGATTCCAGGACTCTGACAGGCACCCCCTTTGTGGGGAAAGAAACTGAGTGCCAAGCCCAAGAAGGAACCATCCCGGGGCCCCAGTACCCACAGCTGGCTTGTTTAGAAATCGTTCCCCACAACCCAAGGTCTCCAGTCACAGCAATTGGGAGGGGGTCCCTGGTTCAGGGTCTGCTGGTGGAGAAGGTGGCATTAAACAAGCATGACTCCCTGGAGTGGTGTTCTGTGGTCACTGAGGTGAGGACAGGTACGTTCCTGTATCACATTTTAACCTGTGTGGGAGCTGAGGCTGCCTGGCAGGCTACAGGGGGGCACCTCAGATTAATTCCACGTAAGCATGGTAAGGTCAGGGGAGCCACCCATCCTATCCCATGTCCCCTTCCCCAAAGAACTACAGGCTCCAGGGAGGATGCAGCATTTATTACAAAGCCAAGAAATACAAATGTCCCAGTGCAAGAGGAGGGTACAGTCACAGGACCTCAAACAGGACAAGGTACAGACAAAGCCATGGGGGCTCCCAACCCCACACACCTCCTTGTGACAGTCTGGCCTCCTCCCAGATCTATGTACATTGGAGGAAAACCAGGTGGGCAGGGGTCTGCTGGGGCCTGCCCCTGAGGGGGCGCTCTTTTGACCTCTCAGAGTTGTGCTTCTAGATGCCTCTGTCACTGTCCTGACTCGGCCTCAGCTGGGGGTGAGGAGGGGGGCTGGAGGACTATTTGCCTTTGGCAGAACCTGGGGTCTGTGCTTGTCTGAGGTTAACCTCATCCCTGCCCCTCCGTTCTGGGTCTCCAAGTGAGGCTTCACCACCAGTCTTGAAAGTAAGGGTCCTGGGCCAGGGTAGGGGCAGGAAGGGGCGAAGCAGTTCATGTTGCTAAAGCCACACATGGACTTTCCAGGGCTGGGATCCCCCATGCCTGAATCTTCTCTTCCACAAGATAAATGATGCAAAGGCCACACACACAGGGGAAAAGGGCCGAACTATCTAGTCTTTGCACAAGATTTCCACTGCATGAGGAGGTGAGGGAGATGCCTTCTCGCTGCCCACTTGCTCCTCAGATCCAGGGGACAAACTGCACTTGTAAAAGGCACTGTCTTCAAAAATCTCTGGACATTCAGCAATGGGGGGCTGGGCAGGGGCAGGACAGCAGCCAAGATGGGTAGAGAAACATGGTGGACCCCGTACCGGGCCAGATAGAGCTGTGTCTAAAGCTTTGGGGGCTGGTGGGGTCCCTCAACATCCCATCTGCCTTGGGAAACAGGGAGAAATGGAGTAGGGCTTTACCCAACTTCCAGTGGCCCCTTGAATTCACCTCCAGGCAACCCCCAAAGAGCAGAGCAAACTACACAAGACCCCCTAAAAATGAAACACACACACACACACACACACACACAGTTCTCCCCACCGCTCCGTGGCATTTAAATTAATCTGGTTGGTCCATAGAAAATAAGTATGTATATTTGGTCTTTCCTATGTACATATATATATATAGATTTATTTATAAAACCCACCTCCCACTTCTACGGTGGGAGGAGCTGGGTAAAGTAGAAGAGGTGGAAAAAAGGCCCAGAAAAAGTGAAAGGAGGGAGAGGTGGCTGCAAAGGAGGGAAAGGACCCCTTTCCTCAAGTTAAAGGGGGCACAGGAGCTCCGTTGACAGTCATCTTCCGCCCCCTGCTGGTGGAGGATGGTGTCTGCAGGCAGTTCGAGGCACCCCCGTTGGCAGCTGTGGTGGCCCCACTGGCTGTCGAAGGGGGAGTGGGGGAGGTAGGGTGGGGGGCTGGGGGGCCGTGGGAGCTGGGAGAGCCATGGGAGGGAGTGGCAGGGCTGGGTAGGGAGGAGGAAGTGGCCGGCAGGGTGGCAGGGCTAGGAGCCTTGTCGCTGACTGACTCACACTCGGATGCCCCGCTGGTGTTGGTGCCCTCTGAAGGAGTGGGCACTGTGGGCAAGGTGAGTCGCTTGCAGGCTGGCTGAACACGGTACTTTAGAGGGAGAGGGCCATTCTGTGGTGAGAGGGAGATGGAGAAAGGCAGGGACAGAGGGTATCAGGAGAAAGGCTAACCAGGGAGCCACCAGCCCCACCCCAAAGTGCCCACACAAGAACAAAGAGAAGATATGGGCCTTTCAGAGGGGAGACCAGCAGAGCAAAGGAGGCGAACAAAGCAAGAGGCAGAGACAGAGGGACACACAAAGACCCAGAGAGACGGGGGCTTGGAAAGAAAAAGAGGAGACAGGAAATAGAATATAGAAAGCAATATTTGCTCCTGGCAGCCACCTATTTCTGACCCCAAATTAGCACAGAATGGGCCAGAAGAGCCCTTTCTCCTGAGTGTGGGAGTTTAATCAGCAAGAGAGGGCCAGAGGCTGACCTGGTATGACAGACAATCCCAGACACATCCAGCTCCCAAGACAAGGGATGGACACAAGGGAGGGTTGAAGAGGATAGCCCGAGTGGTCACTGTGGTCACAAACTAATGCCTACCTCCACCCTGCACCCTGCCCAGCTCACCCGTCGCCAGGGGTAGATGTAGGCGATATCCATGAGGGTGTAGTATTCCTTTAGGGGCTCGTCCTCATAAAGAACCTCCACCTGGGGAGGGAAGGGGTGGATACTGTGAGCCTGGCCAGGTGCAGGACTGGGAGGTGGGGCAACGTGGAGGGTGGATTGCATGTGGCCTTCGCTACTGAGGGCCGTCATGTGGATTTGACTTCCCCATCAGAGCTGTCCCCACGTAACATCTGACCACAGGTGGGATGGAATCCAGAAAAGTTGCTGCTCAGCCCCAGCCATCCACATAGCTGTCAGTCCCCTCCTCTCCGGCAGGCGTCCCCGAAGACCTAACAAGGCTGGAAGGAACTCCTGGCCACTGGCTGTCACCCTTGGATGCACAATGGACTGGCCAGGGGAGCTTAAAAAAACCATCAAAGCCTGTATCCCAGCCCCAGAGACGCTGACCTAACAGGTGAATCCGGAGGTGGCTCACTATAGACACAGGACTAGGTACAGCAGAGTTTAGGATTCACTATCTGAGCCTTGCTACTCAAAGCGCAGTCCTGGTGGTCCGTTTACCTTCCACATTGGCAGCACTTAGAAGCTCACTAGAAATGTAGAACTGAATGCACCAGAACCTGCCTTTCAACAAGATCTCCTGGCCATCATGTACACATTCAAGTCTGGGAAGCCCTGTCCTAGAGCTGGCCCTCCCACAGCCAGCTGGCCCTATATTTTCACCTGTACACCTCTTCCACAATTCTGAGTGTGTAAGTGTGAGTGCACATACACCCTCACCCCAAGCACCTCTGTACAATGACTTCAGCAGACATAGACTATGCCACCCTAATCCTGGGTTCAACCACCCTTCTCTATAGGCTGTAACACAGTCACACCAGCCCCCGATGACGCCAAGCCAGCCCTGAGCAATAGTTGGGGTGCAGACTGTCAGACCCTCTCACAAAGACGCTCCTGTTTTGAGAAGGCCCAGGACTCACCTTGTACTTGCTGGGTACATCCATCTTGTTGCGAAGGAACTTGGCAAGGTGCATGACGGTCATGGCTGCTGGGCATCGCAGGAAGCGCACCCCTGTCTGCTGGGGAGAGATGCCTGTGAGGGGCCCCCCAGGCACTACCTCACAGCCCACAGCCCACTCCTGGGCAGGCCCCAGCATTCACCTTCTCCTTGTCCCCATCCCCATTCTCCAGGGGGCCCTTCTTCTCCTCCCGGTCCCTGGAGAAGGAGAAAGAAGAAAGCTAGAGCAACCCTGGAGCAGGCAGGACCCCTCACCGCACACACATTGAGGGCTCCCAGCAGATGGGGCCAGCCCAGGCCTGGACTGGACTTGCCTGACACCTTCGTAGAACTCGATGGAGAGGCTGACAATCTCGTCATCACTCAGCGCCCCCTTCTCCTGCTCCAAGACCTCACCGCGGTCCTCATTGGAGCCATTAGGGACTGCAGAAAGAGCTTGGGGGGTGAGTGGGAGGTAGGGGGGAGGAGGCTCACAAGGGACAGAGGGTCACAAAGCTCAGTCAGGTGAGCCCGGCCACCCTCTCAGCAGGGGAGTGGGGTGCCCTGTGGGAGGATGCATGGGGTTAGGCAACCCTACCTCCTGGCACAGGCCCAGGAATAGGCATGCGCACACTCACCCTCTGTCAGGGGGTACGCTGCGTAGAAATCTCGTCGCCGTTTCATCTCATCTGGAAGAAGGAAGAAGCAGGGTAAGAGTGCAGGAGACTAGGAGAGGACAGGAGAGGGGGGAGGGGAGAAGGGGACACAAATACCTTTGAAAAGCCCAGGGACCAATTTGTAGACTATGTCTTGGAGGGTTTTGTCAGATCTGGGAAAAAAGTTCAGGGACTATCAATAGTCACATCATCCTACTATCCCCAGCCTGGGACCCTCTTCCAACCCTTCCCTACACCCGGTGCCCAGGCCTCGGACTTCCTAGTATTTCTTAGCCTATAAGCTAGGAGTAACCAAGAGGGAGGGGAGGGACAGAGTCCAGGCCCTACTTCTCCTGACCAGCTGCCCTGGCTGCAGGAGGCAAAGAGGATGAGGGGACAGAGGTAGGCTGACCTAGCAGCTGGGTAGTGGCAGGGGGAGCAATGCCAGGCCCACCTGATACTCAGCAGCGGTCGGGTTTTATGGACCTGCACATCACACATGGGGCAGTATTTGTTGGTCTCCAGGTAACGCACGATGCAAGTTTTGCAGACTTGGGGGGTATGGACAGAGAGAGGACAGTCAGCGCCCCTTTCCTACCCCAGGACCAGTCCCCATTCCCTCTGCTCAGATTCAGGCATCTTCTCTTCTCCACCTTGTCCCAGCAGTTCAGGGCTGTTCAGAGGCCGGGCATGGTAATACATGTTCTGTACTTTCCCTTGTCCATCCTTGGGAAAGGATGGGTCTTGTGTGTTTTGTGTATGAGACAGGTTGGTGTCCTACACAACATATAAAGTGAGCTTCAATGGGGGCTGGGGTTGTGGCTCAGCGGTAGAGCGCTCACCTCAAACGTGCGAGGCTCAGCATCACAAAAACATAAATAAATAAAGATGTTGTGTTCAACTACAACTAAATAAATAAATAAATATTTAAAAGTGAGCTTCCAGTTCCAGGCCCCCTGATGGAGTACAAAACAAGAGTCAGCCTGTTAAGAGCCCTCCTAGGTATTTGACCTCTTGCAACCAAGACTATGTGCAAACGAGGGACACCTGCACCTTGAGAGTATGAAATTTCAGCCACACAGATTCAAGAGATCTGAGATTCCAGATGCCAGTTCCTGAAATGAACTTCTGGGAAGAGACAATCCCTGCCCCAAGTTATCCCTCCCAGGCTTGTCCATGACCTAGGGCTTCCCAGTAGGCACATGGGCGTCAGCTCTCCAGGGCAGGAGCTTATTGTCCATCTTCCCTGCAGCGCCCCCCAACCTGGGCCCAGAGGCTGCCCACCCTGCACCCAACTCACAGGAATGCAAGCACTCCACAATAGTGGTTGCATCAATGAAGTATCCCCCACAGAGGGCACACATGAGGTGAGGGTTCAGCTCCGTGATTTTGATCCGTGTGGTCCGATGCATGATGCCAGGTCTGGGGCTGGGGGGACTGGGGGGGCTTGGGAGCTTCACTCTGGAAAATGGAAAATGAATCAGAAACCTGAGATCCAACACCCCCCTCTAACAGCTCTCCTGGAGCCCAAGCTCCTCTTTGCCTTCAAGGTAGGACGGGGTGTGTTCATGTGGCTGGTTCTCTCTTGTCCTCTGAGTGTTCACTGGGTACCTAGGGGCTCAGGAGATTCATGTGACCTTGAGCAACAAGGTCATGCTTCATCTTAGAAGCAGCAGGAAAGATTAAAGTTAAATCATAAGAAGTACTACTCAACTCCTCAGAGGATGTGTGGAGTCAGGAAAATGGAAGACAGCAGGGTTTTTACTTTTATTCTTCATTTTTATTTTATTTATTTATTTATTTATTTTTTAAGGAGAGAGAGAGAGAGAACTTTAATATTTATTTTTTAGTTATTGGCGGACACAGCATCTTTGTTTGTATGTGGTGCTGAGGATCGAACCTGGGCCACACACATGCCAGGCGAGCACACTACCGCTTGAGCCACATCCCCAGCCCTTATTCTTCATTTTTAATTTTGCAGTGCTAGGGATTGAAGTTAGGGCATTGCACATGCTAGTTAACAGCTCTACCACTGACCTACACCCCCAGCCTGAGCAGGGGTTTTAAAAATCTCTCCAATCCTGCCAGGTGCAGTGGCACACACCTGTAATCCCAATGGCTGAGGCAGGAGGATCATAAGTCTGAGGTCAGCCTGGGCAATTTAGAGATGCTGTCTTTAAAAAAAAGGAGGGGAGGGGAGCTGGGGGATGTGGCTCAGTGGTAAAGTACCCCTGGGTTTAATCCCCAGCACTGCAAAAAATAATTAAAAAAATCTTCCTGATTCTGATCCATATCCACTCAAGTGGTCAAACATACAGAGTACTAGGAGCTATGAGGAAACTCAGGTAAATAAGCCATTTCCCTGAACTTCAAGGAATGTAAGAAGGGAAGAATAAATTATTCCCATCTCTCTATCCCTCCACCCACTGCAAGGCCTCTCTGCTCCTCTCCAGGAAGCCTGCCCTGGAAACACCACAGCATAGGCTGCCCTATTTGGTGGTGGCACCTATCACTGGTCCTGGCTGTGTGGCTAAATTAGGCCCCAGAGCACCCCCTGCCCAAAGTCACCTGATATAGGCAGCTCCCTGGAAATTCCCTCTATGCTGACCATTTGGCTTCCAGGCCTGGTACTCAGACAGGGAACACTGAAGATAGTCCCTCCATGCCCCAAGTTGGGAAAGAGGTCCAGCCTAACCCCAGGTCCAACCCTGGACTCTACAGGTGACAGCAGTCAAAGAGCCTGGGCAAGATTGCTACTGTCCGCAGCACAGGAATCCCTCCCACTGGACCCAACCAATAAGCCACTGTACACGTGGATACATTCGTATTCTAGATCCACCCTTTCATGCACACCAGGAATTTCCCCATGTGGCCACTGCCACTCCACTGTCTCCCACCCTGGAGACATCTCTGCTGCCTGTCCACAGGCTGTCCAGCATCAGACCTACAGGTAGGTTCTCCTAGATGCCTGTCAAAGCTGGGCAGAAAGTTATCTGCCCTTAGCTCCCTGGCGGGGCCTGGAGGTCAGTCCGGGGCTGGCTCTGGACTGGCTGCCATACTTTCTCAGTTCATAAACCAAACCTGCTCCTAGAAGGGCTGGGCCCCTTCCCGTCCTCCTCTTTCCCAGAGTGAAAGCCCAGGAGTGGGGCGTGGGAGGGTGGCCAAGCCCCAGCAGCTCCTGTACAATAGGCTCACACCCATTTCTCTTTTCCAGAAAGAGTTCTTTTAAAGCCACCACACTGAGTTTTCTAGGACAAGACATTCACAGCCAGGATCAGCAGTTTCTATAGAGACCCTACGATGAGTCTGGCCAGGACCCAAACAGCCACCAGAGGCCCAGGGCACCTGGCCAGAGACCAAAAGAGATGGAAGGACACAAAGGCCACATGTCAGGGGACAGACACCAAGGTACAGAGCAGCCAGAACGGAACAAGCTGGCCTCAGAGCTAGCCCAAAGGACCCTGGGGCCTACAGACCCAGCCTGAGGAAGGAAAGGGGTTTCCACTCCACATAGGGTGGCCTCAGCCAGCCCTCCCTACATGGGTCCCCTTCACAATTACGCAGAAGGCTGCTGGCTACTCCACTGTTTAGCTGTTTCCATAGTAACCCTGTACCTGGCAAGATGCCCAAATATTATTACAACCATCCAGAGGAGAGAACAAACTCCGAGTGGCTGTCTCTCTGAGCATGTGTAACATCTATCCTATGTGTACGTGCCATCTGGGCCTCCAATGGTACTTGGTGGACTGCTTGTCCTGTGTATGTCGGTGTCCAGATGTATCAACATATGTGTGCATGCACAGCCAGAAACTAAACACAGTAGAACTCAATGCTGGGGGTCCAGACAGCCTGAGGTAATCCTGCTCCCATCTTTCTCTCTCTCACCCACACCTGCATACACCTACAAACAGGCAGGCTCTACACACTGCTTTAGCCCCTCATTCACACACTTGCTGTGTTTCTGAAACAGACACTTGCTCTTAAGAACTCTAGGAGTAGCCAGGCACAGTGGTGCATGCCTGTAGTCCCAGCAGCTCAAGAGGCTGATGCAGGAGGACTGCAAGTTCAAGGACAGCATCAGCAACTTAGACAGGCCCTACGCAGTTAAGTGAGATCCTGTCTGAAAAAGAAACAAGACAAAAATCTGCAAGAAAAAAAAAAAGCCAGACGCTACAAACAGCCACACCCCTCACCATCTCCATCCAGTGGTCAGTGAGAATTCAGACCAAGACTGTCCTCCAGGCCCCTTTCTGGACCAAGAGAAAAGTGAGAGAAAGAACTGAGGTGCTTACAGAGTGAAATGCTCCTCTTGCCACCCCCCATCCCCAGGGCCTCAGAATGCCACCTCTGGGGCTGGGGGTGGGGAGAAGCACTGATTGGCTCCTCACCTGATTGCCATGGTTACCTGCAGGGCCCTGCCAGCAAGTGCCAAGAGCAACTGTAAACAGGAGCTCTGTTTCCACAGAGAATCCCCTTCCCATCACCCCCGCCCCAGGACTGGGCCCCACGTTCCTGACTCCCAGTTCCTCCCCAGATACAAATGGTGGTGTTCTGTGGGCAGCAGAGTGAGGGAAGAGGGTGATGTCCAGCTGTCATCACTGTAGGGGAAGAGCCTGAAGATGAAAGTGGGAGACAGAAGAAGGGGAACAGAGATATTAGGAAATGGAGCTGTGGGGGGGGCTTTAACAGCCAATCCCAACTATGTTCCCCCAATGGACCTGCACACTGACACCCCAACACCCCCTTCCCCTAGCCAGAGTCGAGGTCCTTTGTTAACTTCTGTCCTCAACCCCACTGTCTTAGCAAGGGTGTGCTCCTTAAGAGGCCCCAGTTCCTTGTCCTGGAGGCGACTAATGGGCACACAGCACCCAATCCGAACCCTTGCCATTCAAGCCTGGCAAGTATCTTTCCTCAAAGCCTCCTAACAGACCCTACACCTCTCCATTTTCACACTCCACTGTGGAAGCCGGCCCACAATCAGTCCTCTCCCTGCCAGTTTCTTCATGTCCCTTCTGCAGAAGAAGCTGGCTTCTGATAACCCAGAGGTCCCTGCTGCTCCTGGGACGGCAGCTGCAGTACTCTTTGCCCTTCCTCTCCTCTAAATGAGATCAGCCTCATTACTTCACTATTGTCTCCTGGTCTTGGGAAAAGTCATTCAAGGTCACATCCAGATGTGACTAGCAAAGATGGAAGGTATCTTAGAAAGCATCTTGTCTAATCCTCTCATTTTACAGATGAAGAAACTCAGAGTGAAGTGACTTGTCTAAGGTCACACAGCAAACCAGTAGCAGTCCTGGACAAGAAATCTGCCTGCCTCCTGCGCCACACTGGCACTCAGTGGGGCTCCCTGCTCATCTAAAGAAGCCTGCTTAACCCCATCTGGGCTTAAGGAAGGGCAGGAGAACCACCCAACAGGCCTTCTGGGAGGAAGTCAAAGCCGGCTCACAGCAAGACCATCAGCACCATTCTAGTCTTTAAGGAGGAAGAGGGAGCCGAGCCTATCCCCCTCCACAGTACAGATAGGGAAACCAAGCTCCATGGAAGCACAGCAAGCCAATAAGACATACACCCTCAATCTTCAGACTCCATTCCTCTCCCAGCCTCGTGGGCCCAACTGTGTAAATCCCGTGTATTTGTTTGGGGCCCTGGGGTTCTGCCTGGGACACTGACTTTCTCAACTTTCCCTGACCCTTGGCAATAGCACAGAGCTCTGCTCCTTTCTCTCCCTGCTGCATCCCACTACCTTGGAAAAAGACCTCCGTACCCTCCCTCTCTCCCTTCCTTTACCACCTTTGAGTTCCCTAAGATCAAACAAAGACAAAAACCCAAAATATATGCACAAAGCAACACATTGTCAGATATATACACAGAGAGCCAGACACACCCCCTCCGTCTCTTACACTTACAACACACAAGGTTAGATAGGCTGGAAACCCACCCCCCCACACACACACACACACTCTAGACAGACACTTGGCCAGACCCACCAGGCCAGACACACCCCACCACACATACAGCAAGACTCAACCTGGCCTACACTTGCCAGATATACAAGTCATCCCCATCAATCCCTTCCCATCCAGAAGCCCACTACCCTGACGTCCCTGCCTGAAACCAAAGCTGCAAACACACACTAACCTTTTGTGCATCCCTTATCCTGCCAGTGTAAATTATAAGTGTTCTAGCAACAAAGGCAATTCAGCTCCCAACCCAGCTCCAGGGCCAGAGGCTGGAGAGCTGCTGCGGGCATCTGACCTGCACAAAGATGTAACCTCTTCCTGTTCAGGCTCTCTCCATTCCCATGGCAACTGTTCCATCAACCAAGATCTCTCAGGGGAGGCCAGGGGCAGCAAAGTCCCTTTCCTGCACATCTCCCAAGACTTCAACTTAAGCTCTACACAATTACACAAGGTCTGGATCCTGAAGTCTGTTTCCTGCCTAATTCCAAATACAGTTCTAAGGCTTTAAGCCCCAACATCAAACCAGGAAACCCCTGGGAAAACCTCCCCACTGAAAGGCTACAACAGAGCTGGCTTTATACTCCTTCTCCAAGTAATAACACCTTGGAGCAGAGTGAAGGGGATGGGAGGAGACAAATCAGAGTTTCAGGAACAGCACAAACTGCTAGAGGCCCACAGCAGGAGGCAACAGACAGTGGGAGTAACCAGGACGCCCCTCCCCCAGCGACGTGAGCGCTGGAGAGACTGAGGCAGTATGGGGGAGATGGGGCTCTGAGGGGCAAAACACCCCCCAGAAAGTAAGGGGGAATACTTCTACAATATTTAGAGGCAAATTCGCTCCCAACTCCAAGCCTCCTTCCCCCTCAAGCCAATCGGAACAATTCTGGGCAGATGGACGGAGTGCAGGAGGGAGAGGAAGGGATGGAATGCGGAGGCACACCGTGGAGGCAAGAGGCACCCACCGGGTGTCTACAAGCTCAGGGTCCCAGTCCCTCCGAGTTAGCAGTAGGAGGAGGGTCTGGGGAGGAAAGGACCGTGGCTTCTCCAGTGCAAGAGGGGCCAGTTTTCCAAATCCTTCATGCTCCAGTTGGCAAAGGGAAATAAGCGTGATAAATGTCCCCCCATTTTCATTCTAGTCGCTCTGCGCGGGCTTCCCCAGGAGCCGGGGTCAAAGGATCAGGGACCCCCAGGGACTGAGCGACCTCTTCCTCCTTCCCTAGGGTCAAACTTTAGTCGGGAGCCCAGAAGAGGTGTTAGTGGAAAGCTCTGCTGAGGTGGTTCAGAGAGGGGGCGGGGCGCCCTGCACTGGGACCCGGGAAGGGACCCGGGTAGGAGGTGCCCGAGAGGACCAGGACCCCGGCAGAGAAGGGCGCCCTCCCCCGGCCTCACAACGATCCGATCCGAAAACCGTGTCCCCTTCCTCCCGGCCTGAAATCTTCACGCGTCCATGATGCCCCACTGCCCTCTGGAGAGGCGACCCCTGCCCAGACCCAAACGAGTAGACTGGCTAAAACCAGGAAAGGCTCTGGTTCCGGGGGAGACCAGGAGGACCAAGATCCATCCCAGCGCGTACCCCCCAAAGCCCTCCTAGCTGTCCGGGACCCTCCCCCTCGCTACCTCTGGAGCAGGTCTACCAGGGGGCTGCTGCACAAAGAGGTGGTGGTCGAGGGAGATGCCAGATCGTTAGAGGGGGAATCTACTTCGGCCATCTTGGAAAGGAGGAAAGGGAAAAGGGGACAGAAAAAAGGGAGAAAGAAAGGCGGACGGAGCGAGCTTGGACAGGGGCTGGCGGGGCGGGAGGGGGGACACCAGCAGGCCGGGTTTGTGGCTCCCTCTCCCGTGGGGCTTGCGGGGAAGGATGGACCGGCACCTATTCCCATCCCCAGACGGTTATAGGGCAGGAGAAGGGAAGGAAGCCGGAGTCCGCGTCCGCTTACCTGGGTTCGGGGTCCGGTGGGTCTCGGGGAGGGGGGGATGGGAGGGAAGGGAAGGGAGGGAGGGGAGGGGGGCAGCAGCCGTGTCGCTCGCTCGGGCGGCGGGAGGGGAGAAACCTACGCTAAGAAAGGAGTTTGTGAGAGCAGCTTGGGGTGGGAGGGAGAGAGGGGAGGGGAGGGGACAGAGGGGGAGGGGAGGGACCGGAGTTGGGGGGGAGACAAAATGGCTTTTTTCCTCCAGACAAGAGTAGGTCCCGCCCACCACTCACCCACGTGACCTCATTCCTTCAGGGTGTTTGCCGAGCAGGGAAGAGGAGCGGGAGAGGCTTGCGCGGCTGCTCCTCGGGCGGTGCCCGGCCCCCCAAACCCAGGCGGGACCCCTCTTTCCCAAACAGCCCCCTGAACCTAGAGGATAAACCCTGTTTTGTTACTCTGTAGTTAATCCCTTCGTCCCCCAAATTCGTGCTCCCCCCACTGGCCCTGCGATCCCCATCTAGCTGGGGCGCCGGGAAAATGGTAAAATGAGGACCCGGCGGAAATGTGGCTCGCAGCCCCAGCGTGCCTCCACCAAAGGGCGCTCTGGCGGGGGGCGCGGCGCTTCCAGGAATACGTCCTAATGGTTTCCATTCACTCCAGCTGACACTCCCTTAAAATTACTAACTGCGTCTCCGTGAGCGAGCGTGTCTTCCCCACTCCCGATGCCCCTCTGGGCGACAGGTCACCCGGCCCCAGCCGGTGTGCTTCACAGGGATCCCCGTACTGGGTGCTGGGCTCAGGGGCAACCTGCAGGCAGGTCTCACTGCGGGGGCTCGGTTGCTGTGGCCCAGGAGGGCGCAGCGGTCGTGAAGAATAAAACAACCGAGGGAGGAGACCAGCTCAGACTGGAACTCAGGCGTCCGGCCTGGGACACAATAATCGGCCGAATTCGAGAGTCAGAACGGACTAGAAAACCAGGCGCCAGGGCTTGAAAGTGGGCCCGCGCTTTTTCCCTGCCTTGCGCTGATTCCCGCATTTTTCTCCTTGCGCTCTGCGCTTGGCGTGGCTGTGCGAGGGCCTCCCCTGTCGCCACGGCGGGAGCCACCAGCGCGTAGGAGATCAGCGCCAGCCCGCTCCGACCGTAGCTCTCGGCTCCGGCCAGCGCTCGCTATCGGGTCCCCAGTGGCTCCGGCTCAGGGAAGGAGGCTTGGAAAAGCCGGGAGAACCGGGAGCTGGCGCCAAGGAAGCGAATCGATTCTGCGTTATGGCCACGACCGTGGGCCTCATTAGAGAACGGTCTATTGGCTTATTCGTTATTCACGATTTATTGGAGATGGCCACCATGACTGTCCGTCCAAAGAGCTCGATTATCCGGCCAAAAACGTCATTAAGCGTCCTGACAGTGGGTTGGCTGGAGTCAGAAGACGTATCTTGGCTGAGCTTCAGAGCTCTTGCCTCCAGCTCCTTCCTTCCGTACTTGCAGCCAAAGCAATCCCGAAGCTGGGCACCCCCCACTCCAACCTGAACGCTTTCATCCAGATTGGCAACCAGGAACCCTGCGGACACTGGCCGCCAAATGAACCGAGCCTCCGTCTTCAGCCCACATTGGACAAATGGGAGTGAGGAGGAAGGGCGGGAGGAATTTCCGCCTAGAGTCCGTGGTCCTAGAAGTCGCGGGAGAGGCCCCAGGAGGATCCGGTATCTGCTGCTCCCAGATCCTGCACGAGAAGACCCGTGGGTTCACCGGCTGTCCGGGGGTCAAGTATGGCGTCTGCCTCCTGAACTCTCCAGCGATGGCATCCACTCCCTCTGTACGGAGAGGTGCGCAGCAGGGACTCCCAGTTCTCCATTCTTTGCTAGAAGCAAGAGAAATACAGGGGCTTCGCAGAGATCTTGGTCCCACCCGCGATCCACACCAGCACCCAGGAGCTGCTCCTCGAGGGAGTAGCAGCTAAATTGGAAAGGCGACTGATGTTCCTCCACGTTTCCAATGCGGCCCATGAATTCCACAGGGCTGCCCCCAAGGAGTGTGTGTGTGTTTTGGCGGGGGGGGGGGGGGTTTCATTCACTCATTCCTCAGTTATTAAGTGCAAGTCAGAGTAAACTGCTGGAGAGGAACATTGTTAAAGTCTCCACTAAACTCCAATTCAATTGTTTCCATGCACACCCTGACCTTTTCTGACTTATCAGGCGAACTTCTGGCCCAACCCCTGGGCCACATCTTTAAGTTCTCTGGTTTTCCACTCTGTTCTATTAACTGACAAGGAAGCACCTGTCACGTGTCAAGGTCAAGTACTGCACTTAGGCATTGGCAGATGAGATGGGCTGTGGCATGCCATGCACTTACAGGGCAGATGAGGGCAAACTAGGAGGGACACAGCCTGTCCCATTAGCTCCTTCAGCACCAGGTGTCTATTCAGGCTTGTCCCTGTGAATGTGTGAACATCTAAGGGTTGATAAACAATGGAGAGGGAGAGGATGTCCAAAAGAAGCCTCCTGTGAGCCAGAAGTCTCAAGAGAACTGATTGAAAGATTCCCTTGCTATTTTCCATGTAGACCAAGGCTCCCCGACCTGGTCACTGGAATGCACTTCTGCAGACATAAAAAGCCTTATGCATCCCCTCAATTTTGTTTGTATCTCATGTGGTCCTCTAGTTGATAATTCAGAACAAGAGTCACTGTGTCACTCACAGACTAGCGGCTCCCAAAGGGCAGGAACCCAAGAAATTTAGGTGATTATTTTCAGCATATGCTAAGAGCTAGTTCCAGAATAAGATCCCTTTTAAAATGCTGATGATAGGCTGGGTGCAGTGGGCAGACTTGTAATCCCAGCAGTTTGGGAAACTGAGACAGCAGGATTGCAAGTTCAAAGCCAGCCTCAGCTATGGAAAGGCACTAAGCAACTCAGTGAGACCCTGTCTGTAATAAAATACAAGATTGGGCTGCGGATGTTGCTCAGTGGTTGAGTGTCCCTGAATTCAATCCCTGGTACCCCCCCAAAAATAAAAATAAATGCCAAAGATAGGAGAGAGCACTTCCTCTAGATCTTTTATGAGTATATGTGTCCTTCACACCTTTTCTTTCCCAAGAAATAATGTTCTTTGCCAGTCTCTACTTATATTTCCCCATTTTCCTCCCCACTTCTGTATCTCTAGCATCTTGTTTTTTTTCTTTCTTTTCCTCTTCTTTTTTTCTGTGCTTCTCAAAATCTCATATTAAACGATTCTCTTTTCCCTCTCTCCATTTTCTTGGGGGCTTCCCCACTCACCCTATGTCTCTGTCATGTCCCTTCTTTCTGTCTCTCTGTTAACCCTAACTATGTTCCCCTTCTGGAGCCTTTCTCCTCATCCCTCAGCTTGTCTCTGCCCTTCCTTCTCTATCTTCACAGTCCTCCCTTCCAGACATAGTATTTAGGGTTCGTACCATCCACTGATGGAGACAATGGAAAACTGTCTCCATTGCATATTCATTCTTAATCCTATGGAAAAAATTCATCATAAAACAAATCGCCTTTTCGTTTTCGTGATACAAAAGCCTCTGTTTTCCTGCAATCCAGTTTGAGCATAGCGGTGGGAAGGCAATGATGAGAAGAGCGAGAGAAATTATTCCGTCCTTTACAACAAATTTTTCAGTCCTCTGATTAGTCGCAGAAACAAACATTGCCTCTTCATTTCAATACAAAATTTGGCTTTTAGGAAGGTGTGATTTTTTAAAAAAGAAAAAGAATCCCATCAGGGAAAAAAAGGCTACGTCCCTGGGTGGGCTCGAACCACCAACCTTTCGGTTAACAGCCGAACGCGCTAACCGATTGCGCCACAGAGACTGCGATAACTGTTGGGGTAGCAGAGAGCCGAGTCAATGGGAAGGAGCCTGGATGGCACAGGAACCGTAACAAGAGCTCTGAAATCCAGCGAAGGAAAGCAGATCCTGGGAGAAAAGAAAAGGTCCTGTCCGTGAGGGAGGGCGATAGGGCTTGGTTGGGGAAGACGCAAAACGTGGTCGCTTCTCCTCGATTGCTAGAGGTCTGTCTGCTAGAGATCGGCACTGACCAATCTTGAGTTGTACTTACATGTGGAGAGGTCCGAACTGTCCCTTTTTAGGGTGACCTGAGACTTAGGGCTACACTGACGACCCGTCGGAGAGGTCCCAAAAAGTAGACCCACCTCTGCTCTCCAAAACTCCCTTTGAAGCTGAACCCCTGTAGCTGCAGAATACCCGCGACGTGCTCCCCTCCCTCTCGCATTTTTACAACTAGGACTTAATGGGAGCCTTCCATACACCACGCACTGTTCAAAGCCAGAGAATATAGGAAGCTCGCAAAGTGCCCAGGTACAAGTAGCTGTAAGGATTTCTGGGACAGAGAAATAAAGTGAGGACAAGTGACTTATACAGCGTGCTCCATGAAAGCCCTGCAGCTCGGGGTGCAGCTCGGGGTGCAGCTCTCCAGCACTGCTTTTCCAGCCCACGTGCGTGCCGGCCCCGCCCCTTCTCTAGTCCCTAAGGCTGAATTTGGGTCCGCCGATATCCCAGCATGCACCCCGACACAGGGCTCTTCCGTACTCACAGTGACTTTTCACTTTCCGCTTTCCCCGCCCCGGTTTTGGCCTCTCAACCAAACCTGTGAAGATGATTGACGGATGGAACAGCCAATAGAAATCCCAAGTTGCCAGGAGGACTTGGTCTATCAACCAATGGAAAGGAAACAGCAAGATTGTTGGCGTAGAGAAAGCCAGGACCGGTTTACTGGAATTGCAGCGGCGATCGGGGGTCCTAGTATACCACAATCATGGTGAGAAAGGGGGTGAGGACAAAGGACATGGGGTAGGAATTGAGAAGCCGGGAGGGGTAAGGTCAGGCTTAGGAGCGGAGAGGGTATCTCTGGGTTGATGGAAAGAAGCAGGTTCAATTCGAAGGAAGCGGACCCCGCGGGGAGGACCTATGGGTTGAGTGGGGCTTTTAGCTGTCGCACAGGGCCCATCTAAAGAGCTGGAGTTCTGGGCGTCCAGGAGCCTCCAGTCTGGAGGACAGGGAGCACAGGAGCATTCAGATCGGGGGCTGGGCTGGGGGCTATGGCAGCCTTTGGCTCCTCGCGCTGAGACCCTCCACTTTGTCTTCCCCAGTCTATTATGTCCTATAACGGAGG